CTCCCTTAAGCTGTTACAAAAAATGACCAAAATGGACTCGTATTTGTTTGGCAGAACATTCTTAAGAAACTATGGTAAAATAACATGTTCCTTGGCTTCGTCTTTTCCTTTTACCTCTAGGGTTCCAGGTGAGGGCTTGTCTGGTGACGCAGTTGGGTGCTTTTCGCAGTGAGTGTCCTATCCACTTCCACCGCTTCTTCCTAATTTCCTCCTCCATTGGAATCTGGTTTGTTCTCTCCCACAGTAGGTTATTGCTGATGGTGTCTGGTCATCGAATGAGAAGTATTTTGCGTAGACAACTGTTAATAAATACTTGTGTCTTCTGGATGATAGCTTCGGTAGTTATCCAAGTTTCCTCTCCATACCGTAGAACTGTCTTAATATTTGTATTGTTTGATAGTTGTCTTGTTTGTTGATAGTCGTTTTGAGTTCCAGATGTTGTTCAGTTGCGGTAATACAACCCTTGCTTTGCCGATCCATGCCCTCATATATGTATCAGATTCACCATGCTCGTCCTGATGCTGCCCAGATATGTGAAGGTTTTTACATCGTCCAAAGCTTCTCCGTCAAGTATGATTTGATTGTTGCATATTGTATTGCATCGGAGAATCTTGCTTTTCCCTTTTTGTATATTGAGACCTGCTGCTGCTACACTGGTCGTCTTCTCTTGCATTTGATGTAGTGTGCACGACACAAGATCCAGATTATTTGCCTGGTCCAGGCCCTCCAGCTGCGTCCTAACTGTCCACTGTATCCCATGCTTCACTCCAGATATTGACGTTTTCATAATCCAGTCGATCACCAGGAGAAAGAGAAAGGGTGAGAGTAAGGAACCTTGCCTGAAACCGGTCTTCTCATCGTACGAGTCTGTCAGCTGTCCTCCATGCACAATTTCGTCGTTTAATCCATCATAGGAATTCCATATGATGTTGACTATCTTCTCAGGCACTCCGTAGTATCGAAGAAGCCTCCACAGTGTTGTCCTGTCCACGCAATCGAATGCTTTCTCGTGGTCAATAAAGTTGATGTAGAGTTGTGAGTTCCATTCAATTGATTGTTCCACAATGATCAGTAACGATGCAATTTGGTCGGTACACGATCGATCCTCGCGAAATCCAGCATGTTGATCTCGAAGTTGGGTGTCTACGAAGTCCTTCATTCGGTTTAACAATACCCTGTTGAAGACTTTGCCTGGCATTGAGACAAGAATGGTGACTCTGTAGTTCTCACACTTGCTGAGATCGCCTTTCTTTGGTATTTTGATGAGGTATCCTTCTTTCCGATCTGATGGTACTTGTTCCTCATCCCAAATCTTCTTGAAGAGGTTGTGAAATATTTTCGCAGTTGCTTCCACTTCTGCTTTCATTGCCTCTGCTGGAATGTTGTCTGGTCTTGATGATCTGCTGCTCTTGATTTGTCTGATGGCCATACTGATCTCCTCAATCGTAAGTGCGCCAATATTAATTGGGAGGTCGGTGGATGCTGCTTCGATGTTGGGTGTGTTCAGTGGAGCTGGTCGATTCAAGAGTTCCGGAAAGTCCTCCACCCACCTGTTTCGCCATTCTTCAGTGTTGCTGATTACTTTCCCTTCCTTGCTTTTCACTGTTCGTTCTGGTTTACGATAGTTTCCGCCGAGCTTCCTTGTTGTTTTTCCCAGGTTTCCTTTTCCGCCGTCGTTGCTAGATCTTCCACATATTTTTGTTTGTCAGCTCTGATGCTCTTCTTCACTTTCCTGTTTGCGTCTGTGTAATCAGCTTGTGCCTTGACTTTCTCTGCTTTTGTTCTGTTGACGTTGATTGCTACCCTCTTGTTCCTCTTTTCTTCAACTTTTTCTAGAATACCAACAGACATCCATTCCTTGTGATGGTGCTTCTTGTGACCCTGAACCTCCTGACATATTGAAGTGATTGCCTCTTTGATCCATTTTCGATTGTTCTATTGATACAGATATTATCGATTTGGTTCTGAGTAGTGTGATCCGGTGAAATCCATGTAGCTTTGTGTATGCACTTGTGTGGAAATATTGTGCCGCTGGTGACCAATTTGTTGAAGGCACATAGGTTTGCGAATCTCTCACCGTTTTCGTTCCTGTCTCCCAGTCCATGTAGTCCCATGATGTCTTCATATCCAGTGTTGTCCATGCCAACCTTGGTATTTAGGTCTCCCGTTAGAATGGTCAAATCCTTTGGTGAGCATCTGTCGACGGTTGACTGCAGCTCCTCGTAGAATTGATCTTTATCGTCACTACTGTAGTCGTTGGTAGGTGCACAGCATTGGATGACGTTTATTGTAATGTCATCTTTGTTTTGAAGGATGTTTTAATGTTCCTGGGTCCTATTAGTGCCTTTTGTGCCCGTTTGGACAGCTTCGATGCAACTGCTTGTGTGTGAGGCACTTTCTTTTACATGGCCGGAGTATAATAACTTGTCTTGGTTGTCCAGTCCACGTGCAATGTGCTTTTCGTCTCTGTAGCAAATTCAAACAGTCTTCCGGTCTCACACATAGTTCGAACATTCCGTGTACCTAAAAGAATGGTTGCTCTGGTTGTCAGAGGGGACATCGGCCACGTAACTTCTGGAGAAATTCGCCTTTCATCATGAGACGTCATATCTCTTCCAAATCCTACGGCAGAGTTAAAATGGTTTGAATTATTTTTCTGGTTAGAGTATTTTTAGAGTTTGTTCTTTATGGGATGTGGTGGCCAACCAAAAGTCTGACACTACTGCATTATCCGGGCTTGGGACTGAAAGTAGCTCCAGGGAAGCTGCAGGCGGATTTATAACACCATTAAAGTTAATGAAAGAATCATGTATTATATTAACTTAATTCATTAACTCTTATATTCGATTTGGTCCTGGTGGTGTTGAAACTACTTATAATATTATTTTGATAGTCTACGGAGACTGAATTGAAAAGCGATGATAAGCAGCCCACATATACAGTCCTAGAAAAGATCAAAATTGTATAAGACTGCTTACTTGCAGCTTCTCTTCCTCCGGTTATTGTTCATATGATGAAGACCCTAACATCTCAGAGGGAGCTTGGATTACAGTAAACATGTACGGTGCAGCTGAATTATTATGATTTTACAGATATCTGGGCAGTAAATACAGACAATGACACTCACTATAGCAGCGGCACCATTAGCAGTAGGCCTCAGGCAGCACAAAAGTAAAACAAGATCTTGGACTACAACAAAACAATCATGAACCGAATCGTACTTAATGGCGACACCTTAAAAACTGTGGAAAATCATTTACGGTGAAACTCTTTCATTGGTAAGTAGGGATAATCTGACAGAGATGTGACGAAACCGATTTCTGGAGCATGGTCAGTATTTCCCATAATAACTTCAAGATAGTTAGAATTTATGAAGCTAATATTTATGGAACTAAAGAAAACGTAATGCAAAAGGTCTAGATATTGACGTACAGATGTTCTCGCAAGATGCTTCAGGTTCACTTGTCAAAAACCCTCAGCCATGTGTCGAAGGAAAAACCAACCATCATTTAGTGTGGATGCTAGGAACAACGTCAGAGGAGAATCGGACACACTTGGCGGAGACTGAAGTAGTATAGATTCACAGTCACAAAATGACTGAAACGGAGCCTAAAATAACTTAGAAGACCTGCATTCAATGTTTAACACCTGAAGAAAGTCAAAAGAGATAGATGTCGGAACATCTGATCAAGACGGCATGGCGTGTTCACCATATCATCTACTGCTCTTCGTATTTAACATAATATTACTTTTCTAGCCCAAATGTCTCTTTCAGAAATCCTTAATTGCATTACTGACTGTCATAATAGGACGAGTCATTATACACAGTGGTGCGAATTATTCGCACGACCTAATAGATTGGGTATTCACGTCGTGGCAGGTATACATTTGTGGAATAGGTTTGGTAGTCTAGTAGCACAGATAAGTGGATTGATAAGGAACTAGACCTAAATCGGACAGAACCGCTGGTCTGCAATTCAAAGCAATCTTGAAAATGAAATGCCGAGGGCTAAGAGCAAGCAGGCAGACAAAAGACTACATTGGTCCGACAATTGGAGTGAAGCAGCAAGGCACTATAGAGCACTTCTCAAACATGGAAAAAGCATGCTCGTGGAAGAGCAGGCTGGTGATGTTCAGTCGGTAGCCTACTCCATAAGATGGATAGAAGTTTAATTTGAGTCTATATATATATTTCGCTTTGATGAAAAGCTTATGAAAACAAATTATTTGCATATATGGTTAGCATATCTTTACCTTTCGGTTAACCTGTTTTGCTCACTTGCGCTAACATACGTCACCTTATTCAGAACGCATTTAAATTTTCAGGTCTGCTTTAATCGATGAAGAATATAGTGAAGGATTTAAGGACCTGGTTGCTTGTCTTGTTCATTGATTTTGTTCACACTACTTTTTTTCAGAGTATGAAAGGGCATACGGAAGCCGCAAAACGTGTCAAACATTTAAAATAGTGTTTGCGGGCTAAGAAATATTGGCTTTAAACTCCTATCTGATTGCAACTTGGTTCTTTGTGACCCTAATAGGACCTGAATGGGCGTTTAAAATTGGTTAATCATATTAGACACGCTGAGACCTGAAGGTGGTTGGCCAGGCTATACGGTCAGATCACGTTTCGTTGCACGTAGAAGTCATGGTTAGTCAGCTCATATAAGGTACGCTATCATATCCTTGTCTACAACTAAAATACATGTTCCCCAACCGTCACTGCTGACTTCTAACTTCATTGGCTTTAGGATCATTCCAAAGGGAAAAATCTGTGCCGCCACACCGTCAACTCCTATGTATATGATTCCACTTTGTTCAACAAACTTACCTGATTACATGGCAGTCATATAGTTCCCTTCAGCTAAGTTAGTAAAATACTAACTAACTTGCAACGTTAACATGAACTAAGAAGTAAGAAAATTTGAAAAAGATAAAGCAAATCCTGTTTATCAGACAGAACTGTGTATGTGTTTGTCAACAATAGCCATGCGGTTGATTGCCTTTTGAAATTAAAAACTGTTCTGGAAGAAAACTACAATCGAGACGTAAATTATAGTATTGAATCTTGGAACTTCAGTAGTGAAACCTCTTCAAAAAGTTAATAGAGTCAGTGTTTTACTGTGTCGCGCGGTTTGAAATTAGTCCTAGCGTGTTGTTGTGCAATGGCTTTACGTACTCAGTTTGAGGGCCATAATGATATTGGTGTGTTTTCGAAACTGACAAACAACTACTGCCTAGTTTCCGTCGGAGGTTCCGAGAACTTCTATAGGTAAACTTGTTACGTGTGTGGATAATGTTTTCAGTGTATTCGAAGCTGAACTTTCTAGTAACATTCCTGTCATACATACAACGATTGCTGGTATTCGAACCGTTGGGAGATTGACAGTAGGTATGTTGTATGCCTTTTTGTGTTAAATAAGTTCGATGTCAATAAAAAATTGTTATCCAGCGTAGGTCTGCTGTCGTCGAAATTTCCACGTATCTGTAGGTAATCTCCTCATTGTTTGTCTGTTTATTGTTTCGCCTTTTTTGTCTACTTGGTTATCGGTTGTTGATTGGCTTCATGTACAATAGTCTGTAATGGCAATGGTCTGTCTCGAAATTAAGTGTTTCGTTTCGCATACATTCTACGGAAGTAGCTGCTTATGTAGTGTGTAACTAATCCAAAAACAAACCTACTCACTCAGCTGCGTAAAACTCCTAAAGTCTGAAAGGCAAGTTTTCGAAATCTGGAAGTCCTGCTGACGCACCAATGTTCGGTTGAGAGTCTGCTTTTCGCCGTCCAGCGAATTGTCTCCTCGAATTTCTTGGCATTCTTCGGTATGATTTGTTCGCAATGCCCGGGTTCACTATTTAGGCCAATGCTATTTTAATCAGGAAATTACAATGGCTTGTTGAAGTTCCTTGTCAATGTCTGCCTACTTAATAGTTTTTCTAAGTTACTTTTCTGTTTATTACTTTCAGGAAACGCACATGGTTTGCTTGTTCCATTCACAACAACTGACCAAGAACTACTGCATTTGAGAAATTCTCTGCCAGACAAAGTAAAGGTGGAGCGCCTAGAAGAACGCCTTTCAGCCCTCGGAAATATAATGGCTTGCAATGATTATGTGGCTCTCGTCCGTCCAGATCTTGATAAAGTAACAAAATTAAACTTCGTAAATTTTTCTGTTTTTGAACATAATTATCTAAAAAACTATCATTTAGTGAGTCCAGTTTCGTTACTGTTGTCTAGCTCTCAAGTCCTGACACGAATGTTAGTTTGCATCCTTAAAATCACTTATCAGTTTAAAAGGATTCAAAACTACTCATCCATTAAATTTAGTTTATTGGTTAGTCAATGGTTGCAGATTAATATAGGGGTAATATTTTTGTGAAGAGTTATGTTGTGTACAGTAATGCTTGTGGGTATATCAGAATTCAATGTGCATTATACGTTTCTCATCACACTTTAATGTAGCAGGATAGAATGTACAGTTTCCACTGTCAGCAGCACGCCTTTCCGATGAGGCTCACCTAGCACTTTTCACAGGTCTGGCACTTTCTATTGGTTTTCTGCGACCATCTAGCTTCAAATGTACCCCGTTGTGCTGATACACAGTTGGTCACGCATCATTCAGGTGACGTCATCCAGGTCCCGTTTCACCACTTTCGTTTTATCGTACAGACCTCAAGCAGTATCATCAACATATTACTGGTTCTTCTCAGTCCTACAAGTCACAGTTTATAACGGGAATTTGGTGACAGAATATCTGTAGGCTCTGGTGTCGGTCTCATCTGGGCCCACGAATCAGCATTAGTTTTTATTGTTCATGTTCATACTGCTAACGAAATCTAAGTGTTAGTTATCATGGTTATTGAGTAGAGTTTAGTTTTCGGATGAAATAGTTGTCTTTGAACACTAATGACTGGTTTTTTACTTGCTTGATGAACAAAATTTTATTATATGAGATGATTTAGAAATATCTAGATTTTATTTCGGTTAGGAAGAGTATTCAAACAAGAATATAGGAAAAAAAGAAATGTATCAGATGTTTAAAAGAAACCTAATTTTCGCAGTTTCCTGGTTACATATGGAAATCGTGGGCTCGATGATGAATAGGTTGTCATGTTTTCAAGTAGAGATACGGAATAAAAGGTTTCTTATTACAGGAATCTTACTTGTTGATTATCTTAATGTAGCTGACCTACGAGTTAGCGGTAATTGATACTTTAGTCAAACTAAAAATCTCCAAATATTTAAATCGTTACAATTGTCGTTGGCTATTAAAAGTAGGAATTATCACCAACCACCACTTTTTCCCAATCATTCTCCATACCATACTGTACTTAAATATGACTTAATTCTTATATTAATTAGGAGACTGCAGAATTAGTCAGTGACGTTTTAAATGTTGAAGTATTTTGTGAAGTCATTGCCAATCAACTCCTCGTCGGGACATACTGCGTACTTACCAATCAAGGTGGACTAGTTCATCCGGATGTTAAAATCGACGAATTGGATCAGTTGAGTAGTCTCCTTCATCTCCCACTAACTGCTGGGACTGTTAACCGAGGAAGTCCACTTATTGCAGCTGGACTTGTGGTCAATGATTGGGCTGGCTTTTGTGGTCTGGAAACGACAAGCACCGAAATTCATGTATGTTTATTCGTTTTAACCTCGGAAAGCTTTGTACATTAATATTGCTGTGTCTGTTGTATGAAATTTAACTTAAAAGCTACTTATTCGGAGCTAGTAAATACTTGTGGTTTGTTTATTTTGTAAACATAGATGGATTATGTGTACTCTTATTCTCTGTCTCTGTTTTTACAGGTGATCGAATCGATCTTTAAATTAGATGGTGATATGAACGTTCCTGGAGTGGATTCAATGCATGACGCTTTAGTTGAAAGGTAGATAATATTTTACAATTCTCGTTTTGTACGAGAGCTGAATTTCTGCTACTTTTTACAAACGTAAAATTCCTGGAATACTAATGCTTTAAACTTTAACAGTCACAGTTAGATATCTTATAATTTATCAACCGAGTGACTATCGATATCAGGTCTTAATGGGTCACTACTGTGAAAAACATTGAGTACCTTATTACCCACAAAAGTTGCGGGTGTTTTTCTAGATGCTTAAAGGTTTATTCATGGAATCATTATTGCATAATTTGCAGTATTCGATTAACCTGTTGGTTTTCTGAATTACATCTCAAACATTCGCTCCCAAAAATAGGTGATATGTTGATTAACATTTTATTTAGTGACTATAATTGTTTTTTATTTAACAAACGTTGGAACGTTATTGTTTAAATTATACCTATGCTTACAGCTAAGGTAAAAGTGAGCACTTCTTTCTTTGACTTTCACTTGACTTAAAATTCTGTTGGTTAGTGAACAAGAGCTTCCATTCTAACTAGTGAAGTCTAATACTCTTAAAATAACAGTTGTATGGCTTTCATTTATTTTTTGTGAGTCTATATTAAGGTCCATAATGTAGACAAAGCTTGTATTGTATTTTGTTTGACTTGGTTTGCGTCTTTTTTGTTTGAAAACGGTATTAGAACTAACTTCCCCGACCGCGGCTGCTGCCCGATCGTAGCTTCTGCCACCAACTGTTGCTGCTACTTTGACATGGAGGTCGAGCTAGCCTATCGTGATGACCCAACCGGTCTATATTGGCTGCAACATATGTTCCTGAAGGTTCTATCGTATCCGGCAGGTCGACTGGAGAACGATGAGCCTAAAAACAGCTACTCAAGGTCTGAGGGCGAGGTCTGACTGCTGACTGTAGAGGGGGGTGACAGCAGCAAGGTGTTCCCTTTGGACAACTAGCATCTGCAACAATGCTGTCTTCTCACATTAAAAGCTTCAACATGTAGTCTGGAGCAGGGTTTCAGGAGACCGGAAACGACGTTTCGTGAACTCGTATCGTTTGCATTAGCTGTGCAGTGTGATAAAGGAAGAATAGTTAGTCGTGGAGATAAGAGAAGTGTTAAGTGAAGGAAGGATTTGATTGTGACCAATTCGGGTAGAAGTAGATTGGAAGAAAGCTAAGGGCGGCCAAACCAAAACATGGCAGAAATCCATGAAGTCACTGACAAGTGGACTGAGTCATGTTGGTAGATGATGTCGACTATCTGGCTGGGGCCCGCGAGATGATAATCATCGATGGTTAGAGACCTCGAACGACATGGCTCAGAATCATATTCAATGGCGCAGGTGCATTCACTCTTTGTATTCTCTCAAATTCTAACCTTCTGAATTCCTCATCACCTCTATATTTCTCTTTCTAAATTTATTTCACTGAATTATACTTGTCGAATCATATCTTCGCTCCCTAATCTTCTCCACTACTGCTAATACTTCCACTATCGCTATCACTCTTGGATTTTAACTGACAGTTGCGTATCTGTGCTGATGTGGTATGGCAACCTGAACTGATGTACTTACGCACGAAGTTCTGCGTTGTATCTGTTTGTCTGCCTTCTCACAAAGAAGAAGGGGGTTAGAAAAGGTCGATCCTAAAAATGTCACACTTCACTTTACCCCACGGATTTCCGTCTCCGGTGGTAAGGCAATTGTAAACAAGAACGGATGTAACACTTTAAATACTACCCATAAAAAGGATGTGCTTGATCGACCCCAAGCAGTAGTCTCTCGGACTCTGCGGTCGCGCTCCCAGGTCTCTAATACCAACGCTAATCTACCTTCCTTTTCAGGTTCTTCAAGAAACAACCTTCCACGGTGTGGGCAGCCGGGAAGTGACATCCACCGTCATACCCGTAACAGCACGCGAGACCGAATTGGTCAAAATCAAATCCTTCCTACACGCTCTAATATCTCTCTTGCCTCCATGACCAAACCTTCTCATATTCCTTTATCACCCCGGTCCACTGATGCAAACGATTCGAGTTCACGAAACGTTATTCCTGGTTTCTTAAAACCCCGTTCTATACACTCGCAGTTGCCTCTTTGTTGTCTCTGCCTACGCTCTCACTGACTGCAGTTCAGACAAGGTGAAAGATGAGTTTTACAGAAAGCTTTCGGACCTCCTCCAAAAGGTTAGGCGCTCAGATATGGTAATAATGGCTAGTGACTTCAATGTTCAAGTAGGTAGACTAGGTGAAAAGGAAAGACACTTAGGTGGATCTTATGGTATCGCTGACCAAAGATCAGATAATGGCGACCGTTTGCTACAACTATGATCAGATAAATGCCCATTTCTAGCAAATACCAACTGTAAGCAAAAGAAAAAACATCTCTTGAAGTGGCGACCCTCAAAGCCAACCCAACGCTAGACCACACTGCTATTAGCCATCGATGGAGAGGCTCCACTTACTCTGCAGCACTTGTTTGGATTTAGACCATGCTCTAGTGCGAGCGCGTGTTTGTTTGCGGCTTACTGGACGTATGAAATACACCACAAGGAAACCTCTTAGGGTTCTACTTAATGACAGGATAGCTAATAATATATTTCAGGAACAACTAGAAGAACAGTGAGGCGGTCATGTAGTAAGTGATGCCTATTCTGAGGCAGCTTTGAATGGTATTCAAAAAGCTGTGGAAACATCAGTGATATCTGCTGGTAAGGTATCACGTCCGACTGGTCTCACTCCCTGATTGTCGTAGCCTACGGAAATGGACCGAAGCCCTCTTGTGACAGTCATAGAAGAATCATTCTGACTAATATAGTGTCTAAAATAATAGCCTCGACACCTAACCAGAGATCGTGAAGAGCAGATTAGAGAAAACCAGGCTGATTTCAGACCTGTATAGACCAAATATCCACACTATGAAAAGTGCTAAAATACAGACAGGTTTCACCATCCGACAACAGTTGTCTTCAAGCGGCATTCGACTTTGTCGATCGTGAGGTTCTGCGGCAGTGTTTGTGATCGCAAGATGTACCAGAGAAGTACATTAACCTTATGCAAGCTCTTTACTTGAACACTATGGGTCCAGTTATAGCAGATGGCGAACTGTCATCCGGATTCAATAATTCAAGTGGTGTTCGTCAACGTTGTTCACTCTCGCTCGTCAACTTGGAATACACTGATGACATAGTTCTATTCTGTGAAGACGCTGACAAAATACACTTTTCTGACTACCTTAAGCAACAGTGCAAGCATGTTGGGGATGCGGTTCTCCCCTTTCAAAATGCGAAACGTTGCTTTAGGATTGGCTTGTGTTGACACCTGAACCATTGATATGGAATGAAGTGGTTTAGTGTGTCGACCGCTTTACTTATTTCGGGAGTCTCATCAATGCTGGTGTTTTGGTGTGTGACGAAATCTCAGCACGGACAGAGAAGGCTCGACTAGCTCTTGCCAACTTGCGTCACCTATGGCGTAGACGAGATATCTGTCTGCTAATCAAAGGACAGGTGACTGCGGAGTAGTCCGCTCTGTCCTACTTCATGGCTGTGAAACATGGCCAGTAAGAGTGCAAGTGTATCCACTCTTTGTGTTCTCTCAAATTCTAATCTTCTGAATTCCTCATTACCTCTATCTTTCTCTTTCTAAATTTATTTCACTGAATTATACTTCTTGAATAATCTATTCGAACCCTAATCTCTTCGATTACTGCTAATACTTCTACTACCTCTACTGCTATGGGATTTGAATTGACAATTGCGTCTTAGTGCTAATATAGTGTGGCAACTTGAACTGATGTACATACGTACAAAGTTCTACGTTGTAATTGATCGACTGACTGAGTTGTTCTGTGATCTCGTTGGTCACGTTCCAAAGTTACCGGGATCAATGCGACCTAGCCTTCCTTTGAGTTTCCCTAAGAAGAAATGTCCTTCCACGTTTCCTGCATCCGAAAATCGTCAACTGTCCTCGTACATCTAACAGGACTCGAGTTCGTCTTGTTCACGATCAAATTCTCCTACTCCTCACTAACTCTCTTATTCTGTCAGCTGACAATTTTTATCTTTCCTTATTACTTCGTTCCATTGACGCTTATGAAAATGTTGCTTCTGGTCTCCTGAACCATGCTTTAACTACATGTTAGCTCACTGTAATCAGAACTGATCACTGCAAGTGGTGTTCGTCAGGGTTTTCCGCTCTCCCCAGTTTTATTCAGTTATTTCATTCGCATACTTCTAGGTATAAAACTATCGTCTGAATTTTCAGGGATTGACTTACTATAAAACCTATTTGTTGACTTAACTCAGAATCGACTTGTGTTTGCGCCTGAATTAGTAGTGGGAAGTGAAGCAGCTGGGCGTGTCTACTGCTCCACTTATCCTTGGAATCCTATCAGTTTTGATGGTCTGTTGTTTGAAGAAGTCTCGGCACGGTTACTGAAGATTCGTTTGGCTTTTGTCAACTTGGGTCATCTGTGTATGTTAATGTATATTTGTAATCAGTTATTTCCGCTACGTTTAATATTTGTTTTTTTTTTCAGCCTTAGCTGATTCACCTGTCGGATTTCATCTATTGTAAAGAGTTTAATTCTATTGCATGTTACTCCACTCGTGTACATTTGTTTCTCAATTATGAAAACTTAATAGCTTCATCTCCAAGTATGTAACGTGAGCATATATTCTTTGTACAATCAATTTTGTACGTAATAAAATCAGTCTTACTTCACTTCATTCACATATTTTTTTGAAAATTTTGAGTTCTATTGAAAAAGTGATATGTTATTTGTTTTTCTTAAAAGTCTGTGAATAGTATGGATGAATTAGTGTGATGATTTGGTGATATGTTCTAAAATTTCAGTTCTTCCTTACAATGTGCTTCGGTTTCACTCATATATTGAGCGTTATGGAGTTTTATTTAAACAGAAGAAAAAAACTTCGCTAGCAATTAGTTTTTCGTTTTCACTTTCTTATATAACTATATATATATATATATATATATATCCTCACGCATGCGCTAAATGCCTTATTAGACACACCCGATTAGAACAATCATTATCATTGTCTGCAGCCGTTATTAAATTTGTAGTGCTCTTTGACTAAAACAGTAAGTATATCGTGTTGGATGGCGTTAACGCTGCTAGTTGGTGTACCTAGTAACCATTTTAGTTAAATTGTTATTGTCCATTTCAATGGCTCATCTTATTTATTTTTAACAACGCATTCACCGTCTAAATAGTGTTCATTTGGCACCGTATAAATGAATCTATCAATTGAATTTTGTGTTAGATATTAATGATTTATCAATGACATGTTCTTATTCGAAAATCTAACATTGAAAAGCATAAGCTACTAAAATCTATCAATATTACACTTATTTGGATAGAGATTCGTCACTTATTGTGCCGCGGTAGTTAACATGATGAATGGTTAAGAGACAAGTAAAAAGTACTGATAATTAAGTGAAGTTTTAAAACTATTTAGAACATTGATATAATGAACTTTAACCATTAAGAGATACCACAATAAAAACTCTAAAATATAAATAACTACACTTGCATATGTGTTTGTCCATAGTGGACTAGTAAATATCTATATCTAGAGGAAGAACCATAAGGTCCAGATACGAATATATGGAAAGTTTATACTTCAAAATTCAAATAAAATTTTACAGTGTTAAAACATTTTTCAAGAAATACAGTGAAACAATGAGTGGTGGAAAATGAATACAATACAGTGGGATTAATACTAACAGGATAAAAAAAAGATACTGTTATACTAAAGCAAACTGGTTTTGCTCTACCGACAAAGGAGTACACTGACGTCACATGCGTGTGAATAAATGATAAAGTAGGAGGAAAATAAGATCTGAGAAAGCGTATACACATACGTGTTTTCTCAATTATAAAGTTAATGATAAACATTTACTAAATTGCTAACTCTTCAAATACTCTACAAGTTTATATTAGTAAACTACACGAACCAACACAGACACGTCTATATATATGTAGCTAAGTTCTATGCGTATTGTAGTGTTACAACATAATACAAACGTGTACTGTAAAGAGTATTTCTGAAGACGGAAAATTCAGGTGTTTAGAGGAGTATAATATACTTTCAAATGATTAGAACTGCACAACTTGAAAAAATGGGTGAGGTAGAATCACTAAGAATTATTGTAGACAGCAAATGTGAAGAATTCTATCCTCGAAATTGGATTATGGATCGTAATTACAGTACGTTAGTTGTGTTCTGTTTATTTATTACGAGAAAATACAATCGACAAAAGTCAGTGAATAATATTTGTACCGATTCGACTAAATGGACCAAAAGAATGAGAAAAGGCGCAAACAAAGTAAAAAATAAAGATTAGATTAACTAAACACAGTTGCCACTCCCAATGTCGCAACATACAATTTTCCTTGTAAAGTGGTTATTGGACTTAGTCCGTAGTGACTAGCTGGTATTTTCAAGGTGGTGGGCATAAAAATGAAAGGTAGGACCAAACGGGTTGTTTCGAGAAAATGATAACAAAAGAAAGCTCACGTTTATCTGCTATGGAATCTAAACAGTGAGACTGTTCATGAATGTAAACAGGTTAAACGGAGAATTAGAAGTTATGTTGAAATAATTATTAGGAAACAAGAAAGCAAGATTTAATCTTTGATCCTTCATTTCATTTTTCTTAATGTTACACTTGAATTATGAATAATAAAAATAAGATGGTAATAGTTTCAGCAGTATGGAAGCAAGGTAAGATTCAGCATAAAGATTTAAACATCTCACGAGAACACGATTACAATATTTATTTTAACACAAGAAGACAATGATCTATGGATGAAAGAAATTTTAGCAAAACAGTCAATCGATTGAACAAATAAAGAACTACTTGTTCAAACAAAATTGAAGTGTGAATAATCAAAAATAAACATTGAACAATATAACAAACTGACAAATTTGAGAGGAACAGCAGTTTATGCATTTTAAAATACCTGTTAAGATAACGAATAAACAGGTTAAACTAATTGTAACCAAAACAAAAACTTAATATGTTTTGCTAATAGGTTCTATTTCGTGAGAATGTGTCTTATGTCATTAGTAAGAGGATAGCAAACATGCGCGCATAAAACATTCAGAATTAGTGATTATTCTTAATATTTATTCAGAAAATGCAGTAATCACTTCACGTCCTGTTCCACGTACCAATAAAATACGTGATAGGCCATCAGTCAGAGTTTCAATATAATCCATGTAATAGTATTCACTTCCTATAGTACGTGATGGTCCAGGCATGTTCACAATGACTAAGTCGGATTCACTGGAATGATTACGTAACAATTCGTTTAAACGAACAGCACAATGTAAGCGACGTTGGGTTCTAGTTCTGGGATAAGGAAAATTAGTGGATTAGGTAATAATTAGAATAAAAAATTCACAATAAAATAGCGAAAACTGTACTGATTTGTACGACTTGTGGAGTGGGGGACGCAAAAATTTATTTAACACGTTCAAAGAGAGAACGAAACTGTCCGAAACAGGTGAATAATAATCGCCATGTGAAAAAGACAAGATCCACGCGAAGTTATGTTTCACGTCTACCAAGAATCAACGATTTAGTTGTGCGTATCCGTTACATCTATACCCATTTCCATTAGTCCGGTTTGTTGGTGGAATATTTTCAATTTCGAAATCATGGAGATGATTTAAAGGTTATATGGGCACTTCAGTGATATTATGTTCTCTAAATTAGATGGTTCAATTGTAAAACTTTTATTGCTGTTTTGAGAAACACCAATAGCGTATACTTCATGTAAGCAATTCACAGTTCAAGAAACCCAACATTCCTAATACTTCCAATACATTAACGAAACTTGATAAATCTGTACATACATGTTGATACTACATTTATATATGTTGCAAAAACAATGATCATTGAATGTAGTCATTTTATAATTAACATTAAATGAAGATATAAAATTTATTTCTCTTTGTGAATAATTCTAGAAGAATTTGTTTTGTTTTTCAGTTACTATTTTTAACTATTCGGAGTACATAATTACAAGCTTTCACTCTTTCTCAATGTATATCTACGACTTAAAATTTATGGAAACAAGGGAATTTTTATTTTATTGCAATAATTTTTCTCACATATGATAAAAATAAAGACGGTAACAGTAGTGAACCTTTTTAATCAGTACTGACTATGACAGTTCATCAATTACATTGGTGATCTTAAAGATCTAAATGTTTTTCGATTTAGCAAAATTGTACTTAACAAAAAATTTTAATCTCTTTGAAATAGATGAAATAATAGTCTACACAAAATTCATATGTATGGATAATGTAGATTTTTATGCACATTAAAATATTCGAATACAATTGTAAATTTAATCAAAAAATAGTAATTTTATCACGAAATTTAGTTCAATATGATTTATATAATAATAATAATAATAAACTTACATTTTTCCCGGGTACCCTTTATTCACCGTATGTTCTTCTTTTGAACCGGCTTCTCTGGCAGCTTTTTGAGCTAATTTAATCAATGGATTTGAAGGTGAAAAAGTGAATTCATTGAGATCACGATTTAATTGAGTTTCTGTGTCATTCTCCTTGAGATTTGTAGATTTGTCAGATTCACTAATTGCAGCAGTTGAACCAGTTGCAAATGATACAGTACAATGTTGGGAATGATTAGAAACAGTTTTATCATTTGATCCAGTATCCGTTTTTAAATTTGACGGTTTCGTACATCCTTTGGAGGCAGAATCACTACTACTGGTGTTGGTTAAATTCTAAAATTCGTTAGTAATAAAATATTTATTTGTAATAATAATAAAAGCAGTATATATATATATATATATATATATATATATATATATATATATATATATATAGTTTAATATTCGACTATATGTTAGAAAATTTGTCTAAATGAATTCATGTTCGTCTGTCTATTAAACACTATAGAAGTGAACTTACGAGTGTACAGTACTTAAGGATAAGCTTGTTATAATGAGGTATAGTTTTGATGAATTTTCAAAATATTCTAGTTGCTTTTTACTTCTTTAACCAAAATCTTTTTTTTTATGATTATTCTTATGATTATTATCGTTTCACTGTATATTTTATCTTATTATTTGTTAAATGACAACACAATCACTTGCCTCAGTTTAATTTATCAAATAAATATTTTGTTCTGGTTTTGGGATAGTGCGGAAATCTGAAAAAGATATTTATTTACTTTTGATCTTATTCCTTGAAACAATTCGATCTTTGAGATGCTGAATTTTTAAACAACAATATTCTTTTTAGGAGTTATCTGATGAACTTTTAATGTTCAGACTATGGTTTCACAATAAGTATGGAAAAATGTAGAGTTTCACGAAATTATGTTCTATAGAGAAGAGAAATTAATGGAATCAATGTTTTTATTCAAAAATCCCACTGTATAATTTTTGGTTGTAAATGGCAATCAATTGTTGATATTATGGGCGTAATGGATGCATAATTTCTACTGTAGTCATTTCTTATAAACAGTATGAGTTTACATAAATGGTGAAAAAAAATCATTATGAGATATTCCATGATAGTTAGATTAATGTATAAAATTTATAAGTTTATGAGTGAATCAGAAGAAGAAAGGAATACAAATTGGGTGAACATGCACAAAATGATGAAAACTAGCATTTAAACTGCTGACACCAATGCCCAATCTTATTGTGTAATCCCTTTAAAAATTATCAACTATTTTTTTGTTGGTTTTCCATCTTTACCACTTAGTGTTTGTACAACAAATGATTTTTGTCATGTAGCTATCCTATTGATAAAATAACTGGTTATCACTGAGTGGAATACAATTGTAATAGTATTATAAACACTTCGTATTTACATATACACTTGTATATTAGAAGATTGAAAGTCAGGGTTAATGAATATGCAATCAAATTTCATAAACACTGAATGTATATGACTAAATGGCACTTATATGTAATGAATTAATTAATTAACGTAACTAATAATTTAAAATTTTAATCAATAGGTATAACTTCCAATCATTGTGTTTCATTAAAAGTGTAGTTATTTGCAATTACATTACGTAGGTGTGTTCAAGGACACGAATAATAATAATAATAATAATACTCACTGTTGCATGCTCAGGCGACGGATCTGAACTTCCAGTTGGTGTTGCTGATATAGCCGGTAAAACTACATGAGAATCGATGGAACAATTCGATTTGATAACGTCTGTTGGATAAACATCAACTGAACTAGGTTTACGGTGCTGATCAACAATAAGTTGAGGATCGCAACGTGCTTCAACATTGGATATTTTCATTTGCATAAGAAGTGCACGACGTTGTTCAATACTGGCTGTTCGTTGAGCGACATAAGCTGATATATCAGCAGTGCTCTAAATAATTATAAAAATAAATTGTTTTTGTAAACAAGACTGGAAAATGAGATGTAGAATCAGAAATGAAAGGGTGAATCTGAAAGAGTATCAATAATGCAGAAAGTAAATTATTTCATTTCTTATGATCTTATTTGTTGTAATTATCTTTCTAGACAACATAGTGTTTAGTATGTAGCAGCTAGCGAATCTCAAGTTCCTCTACTATTCATCATTTTGAGGATTTTGTTTGACAGAAGCCGACATATTTTCCAAACTCATTTTGGTGCCACAAAATGTCTTCAGTCGCCAATCCAAAATTATGTTCAAGTACTCATATTACTCAGTAGTTTGTCAGTAGTGTGAAAAGTTGACGCAAAGCTGCATAGGCTCGAACGTGAAATTAGTTTTGTGACTTGTGACAAGGAAATTTGATGGGGAGTCATCTAATTAGCTCACTGATACCTTTAAAACACTCGGTAATGATGCGGAAGATTTGTAGAAATAAGTTGTAAAGATTTGGGACTTTATCACTGGTCAGTATCCACTAAGGAATTAGGTTGGAAAATTTATAACTGCTGAATAGTTTTGTTTTTGTCAGTTGGAGAGATTGTAGATATAGTTGAGCTTCATTCAAATTATGAACAGATAACCGGCAATAGAAACCAGGATGTATTTGATGGTCGTTCAATTGTAGTAATGGACTAATCAGCAGTACGCACCCACGACGTCCGCAAAGGGGAATCGAACTCAGAAAAAGCGTTCTCGCGCAAGAACACAACTTCATGTTCAATGAGCCAGCATTTAGCCGTGCTGATGTCTTACTCAAAACAACCCATAATATTGCGCCACCATCATCCATTGTCTTCGGTCGTTAACTGTCCCATAGTTGAACGGCTGTTGAATTCCACTGGTCACCGCTTCTAACAAGAACTTAAAGAATTCCCTCACGAAGCTAGTAGCTAGTGAGCAATTTATTAATGTCAGTCAAGGGTTGCAGAGATTGTTGGGTTTCAATGTTCATACAGAACTTTCTAACGTTGTTCAACATTAACTTAAGGTGATTTTTGGCTGACTCAGAATTTCAGAAGTGACTCAAAGCTGCCAAAAATCAGCATAACATATCTTTAAATATTGATACAAAATGACTATGTATAAGTTAACATACCATTGCTACTACTTCCACAGCAGCATTAATTCTCAAATCGTACAAGAACTTGGTCATATCCTTTTTCAAATTCACAATATCATCATCTTCAGTAGCTACCACGAAAATGCGTAAATGACATTTGCGCCATACACGATTACGCATAAGCAAATATGATGTTAGCAACAACAAACCACCATCATGTACTATACACCAAACATCAACATTTCCAATCATTTGATTGCCTTTACTCAAGGGAAACAAATCTATCCCTTTAGGAACTAACATCGCTATATCACATGCCTGTGCAGCTCTTAAAGTTGCTGTAAAAATTAGAAGAGATTTCGAAATAAGTAGTACAATAATGAAGCATGCATTTGAGATAAACACAATTCAAGGAAATGATGAATCTATTTTGAAACAGACCTTTTTTTAAATTTTCAGCATTTTAATAACTTAATTTTAAGTATATAATTTTAGTGTCATTCTGATATGGTAGAACTTCTTCCATAGTTGTGTACTTTAAACTAAATCTCATCTTTTTTATTTAGTTTCATTTCTCGCACGAGCAAAATAAACTCATTATATTCAGTAGTCCCTACATGACGTACTGAGAACATCATGATATTTTATATTGAGTGCCACTTGAATTAGTTTTTTTATGAGAATATAAAGAGTCAGTGAAAACTTTGAGGTAATAGTTAAAGCACAAAGGCATATATATATATATATATATATATATATATATATATATATAGGATTAATGATAACTGGTCACCATGTTGATAATCACGCGCACTAACAAAATATGATCATTAAATATGAAATTTTACTCTATACTGTCAATTTTGAAAAATAGTCTGGCGAATCTGTTGTCATGGTTACGTTTTCCTAAGCGTGTGGAAATAACAGTTGCAATAAACACACAAAATCAATAATTGTTTGTCTGGGTAGTTTGTAAATATTTGGTAAACTTAGTTAGAAAGTTTTCACTATAGATGGACTAAAGCTGCAGAAAAATCGAAAGTGATGAGTATTCGATAGCTGTATTATACTAAAGAGAGAGTTCTTAAAGGTGTGCCCCCAAGACCATACAAGTGATGTAACCCAGAAACTTCAGATTATCCGGTGAATAAGATACAATTATTGATTGAATATCCTGTAGTCTATAATATTACTATCAGTCAATTTAGTCAAAAACAAGATTTTCATTAATATCTGAGACGATACTATTCCTCAAGTACGTTGTTACAGTCGTGAGATATCTGGACATTCTACGTAGTGTCGTTTGGTTTTCTGCATTATGAGACAAATTTGTAAAAATTCACAGATACAAAACATGTATATATATATATACAAAACTTACATATAAATTTGGACAATTTACTTCCGCTACCTTTACAATCTACTCGCCAATCTTCAGGAAATGACACCATAAGTGTATTATGCCGTAAATTGCCAAGACCAGCACATTGTGCCCTTTAATTGATTAGTTTTTTTAAAAAAGAATTTAAAAATTCAATGAAAGTTTTGAGAAGGTTTTAGTCGAAGCAGAAAGAACAAAAGTTTTTTTTCCTAATAGCTTACTATTGATTGATAATTTACTACTACTACTACTACTTTCGCCTGTTACCCCCAATGGAGCATAGGCCGATTGATAATTTAGTTACTGATAATTTATCAGTCAAATAGAAAAAATTATTACAGAATTGTCTGAGGTTAAGTAAATAAATATTTCAATAGCAGATTGTATGCAGTACAATTTTAGTTATAATTGTAAATACGTATTTCATAACCTGATGTAAGTATTATGTGTAGGTTTAAGTTTTTTCGTTGTTGATTGATATTAAGGACTCATTTTCGTTTAGTTTTACTGATGTATTTGAATCCCTAGGTGTTAGCGCCGATGATGCTTTTACAGTAAGAAGTTTTAGCAAGACTGAACTGTAGCTGGTAGTGGATTTCTAAGTAGGACTCGTCAAATGCGTATAGTACCATCCCAGTGAATTCGCGCATAAATATTAACAGTGAAAAACAAAGGATAAAAGAAGCTCCTCAGAGTGTTAGAAAGGAGACAAGGAAAAGTATCCAAAGGGATGAAAATTTAGCTAATTATTCAAGGGTGTTCAAAGAATCTACTTTCCTAGATTGTTGAAATGATAGCTACTCTTTATTATTGTTAGTGAGATGTTGAATGCAATAAACTGTCACATGAAGTGAATGAATCTGAAAGTTATAGAGTATTATCGTTCAACAATATTTAATTTAAGACTTATGTAAACTGACTTTAAATATACATATTTCTCATAACATAACATGAATGTAATGGGTCCGTTTAATTAACAAAATAATAAACGACTGATCAATTATGAAGTTGTACAATATTTTGGTTTGTTAATTGCTTGGTTGCCTTGTGGTGCGAGCTACTTATACAATTCGGTTGCCCCACCCGTGTTCTCGTTCACTACACTTGGTGTCGCTGCCTGCTCGAAGGAAGGACCTCCCGTGGCTGAAGGAGTTGGAGGACGGAGATTTGCGGAGCTTCCTGGAGGAGTTTGAGGCCGCGGTGGAGCTGGTGGTGGCCCGGGGCGGAGTTGGCGGTGCTGAGGACGCTGCGGGGAGGTGATGCAAAGGCGGTGTACGACAGCCTGGACGGTGCGTGGGAGACGGTCACCGGGCGTCCGATGACGGAGTTCGACAGCCCATTGGACAAGGAGAAGGCGCTGCAGGAGTTCCGGTTAGCGAGGCTGTTGGCTGATGGTGACCCGTTGGTGCTGGCTGTGGAGCTGACGATGTTGCTGCGCCGTAGGATTCCGAGTATGGATGGGGAGTCGGGGCACAGTTGTTGGCATCGCAATTTATCGAGAGTGTGCCTGCCGCCGTGTCCCAGCAGCGGGAACTAGTAAACGCTACACTTTGGTAGATGCCGTATCCATTCCAGACCAGCGGGCAAGAACAATGACTGAAGTGGTGATCCGGCATATTGTAGCGTGTCACGGAATACGGAAGGTGATATTAACTGATCAGGGTCCCTGTTTTGAAAGTGACGAGTTTAAAGCCCGTCTAAAGCAGTTTGGCGTCAAGAGGATACGAACTACACCGTATCATCAGCAGATAAACGGGCTTACAGAGAGAAGACAAGCAGAAGCTCGTAAATGCTAGTCAACTGCAGAGATGGTTTCAAGATTATCAAGTGTGTGAGTCACGAAAAGCACCAAAGATGACAACGGTTCGGCAATCAGAAAGACTACGACGACAGCTTATTAAAAGGGGGGACGAGTGTGGTGCCCCACCCGTGTTCTCGTTCACTACAGCCTGACATCAGTATATCTAACTGAAAAGCCATTTCTAACCTATAATTTCTTGCTATAAAATTATGCGAAGGCTGGTAACATTTAACACTAGAAACAAAGAATGTGTATTACGTTGGAACGAAACAGTTGACTAAATAATTGAGCATATGCAAAACTTAATAAGTTTGGAGATGAGAAGTGATTCTTAATTTAATTGTGGATCGCTTGAACAATGTTTGATTCACTTTTGGAAAGGTAAGTGATTGAAAACCATTTAGGTTAGTCAGCAGGTTTAGTTGACTTAATCAAATACTAAATAGTCGTTTAGTTACATTGTTCAGTTATTCTTAAATACACATATTTCTCAATGACATTTTCTGTACCACTAAATACATGATTTTTCTTGATATTGCCAGTGTTATCAATCAGATATCACAGTGTGATTACAACGGATCATCATAAAGATATTTTATTAATATATTGAACTGGGAATCATGAAAGCAGTAGTAGTCCAGGTTCCAGAAAAAAAGTGAGATAAATGAAAAAAATTAGTGAAAAAGTAAAACGAAATAATGAATTTTTTTTTTAAATTCATAAATCTAATTCTCTAATTTATATTGTGTATTTATCATACAATAGACAATTGTCCAACACTCACTCATTTAATGTCTGAGCTATTCACAATTCCACATATTCAATTTCTATGGTTTTATTTCTCCACTATTCATTACATCATTATTTATGTGAATAAGCCAATAAAAATTAGACTTTTTATTAAGTCTCTCTCATTTATTTATTCTGTCATAAATTATCATGTTTTTTCTTTTATATTATTTTGTATTCATCTATAAAACCAAATATTCTTTATCAATAAATGTTTGTTTTGTTGTTCCAGTTTAACTAATCCAACCAAATGTGTTCTGGCCATAATTGCCTATTGTTTATATATATATATATATATATATATATATATATATATATATATATATATATCAGCATAAACATACGAGTATTGTAATCATTGTATATGTAACAAGAATTATTTATTTATTTATTTTTTTCTCAATAATATGTAGATCATTGTGTTAATTTATGCATTCGATACTAAAGTTCAATTTATATAATAATTATTTAATGTTAAGCTCTCTCTTTTTATTCTTCTAGTTAACTTTTGTTATTATTATTATTATGAATTTTTTTTTCTTAATATCACTTTCTTTCTCTTTTTCTCTCTCTCTCTCTCTGATGAGTGAGTATATTGTTTTCGAAATATTGTAACAAATTGTCAAATTGAATGAATAAAATGATGCATCCTATTTTAGTTGTTTTCATTAATGAACAATTAAGCATTGAGTCTGTTTTGTTTTGTTTTTTTTTCTTTTTAATTGCAGCATTAAAAATGATCATAATCTTTTGTTGGCCATGAATAATAATAATAATAATAAGAGAAATAAATAATTGCAACCTGACTAGGGTTAGAAAATTATCACAAACAAACAAACAAACAAAAAGCTTTTACATATATCAATATGTGTGAAAAAAAAATATATATATATATACATATATATATATATATATATATGTATATATAGGATATAGATGATATTTGGAATCAACGGTAAACATTCATTATCATAGGAATCGCTTCAACTTTGATGCATCAACAAAAAAACATTGTGTCGAACAAGTTTTCATTATCTCATAGATAATTACAAATATTCACTGTGATATTTTTACTGCTACTATTAAAGTTATGATAATGCGGTGAAATTAATGCCATTTGTGAATATCTATCTGTTCACATACATGTGCATATGCAAATTTTCAATAATTTTAAACATTCCTTTTTTTTTAGTTATATTGAGAATGAATGAATGCAGTATTTAATGGTGTAAATTTTAAATGATTTATTATTGTCATTGAAAACGAGAGAAATAGGCAAAAACCAATCTTTAAAATTAGAAATATTGCCCTTCCCCTTTGACTGTTGCATGTTTTCCGAATAAGTTTTTAAAGACTTTCAGTAAAAAAATATTTTAGATTCATAAAGTTTATGTATTTCGTTTAAAATTATATTTTTAATCAGTTTTACACATATGGAATTCTTTCTTGAATTCCATTATTTCATTAATTATTAACGAATATTTATCATATCAATATATTAGTATAGTTGTTTGTCAGAATGAAATTAAAATTCTAATCGAAAAACTGCTTCGACAGAGAAATTCGAATGTTTCACTTCTATCTGAAGTTTGTGCTGATGATGTTGTTCAGAAGAACAATGAAAGATCCACAACAAAAACACCCAGCTCAGAGAACCAGACATCACCACAATCATCCACCTGAGCTACAAATTTTCTCTACTACCTCAGAATTAACCGTTGTTTAATCAAAAATTACAGTTAGATAAACAATTTCTTATTGTGATCTGATAATCAATAATACTTGGAAGTTTAAAATGTTCGAAAAAAAACAATACAATTTTCGATAAATCTAATTGTTATTTAAGTTATCAAATCAAATTAACAATATTGCAGAAGTAAAAAAAATACGCAACACTAATCAATACAATCTTTCACATCAAAGAAAACTTACATATTTTTCATGCCTTCATCAATAGTAGAAGCAACAAGAACTTCAGCTAAACCTTTAATACGATGTTCTTGTATAAGATCACTTAAATGAGCTTTAGCAGCAATCATATCATTACGTCTATCGATAATATCACCTTCTAAAATTGACGCTACCAAGGTTAAACCTGTATATATTACAACACAATAGACAATCGTTAAATATTTCAGAAAAAAAAAAGATGGAGCACAGATATTTAATTGTTATAATTTGGAAAATGAAAAAAAAAAAGAGAAAGACTGAAATTTACATGATTACAATTTGCATAGAATAATGAGAAATATGTACCGGAATAATTGATTTGTTATTATTAATATTATTATTATTACTGATGGTATTTTCATCCGATCGATTGTCACCCGTTGATGAACAGTTATAGTAAAAATATTTATATTTTCATTACACGTTATCAAGTTTTCATTTTCATAGGATGAACAACACAGAAAGATAATCCTCGTAACACATAATGTCAAGGACTAATTTAATTAGTTTTACTAATTATTAAGAGGATATAAAAAAAAATTGAAACAGAAGTATGAACACACCCCAGAGCATACATATATACTTATAAATTCAGGCACTGAAGACCACTTCAATCAGATGAATCTACGCATAACTAATCTTTGTACTTTTGTTTTATCCTTTCAGAAACAGAAGGTCATGAGTTATATTTCTTCTAATGACGATATTTAATAGATTTTGTCCATAAACTAATGAAATCAGAATAGGGTACATATGTGATACAGTTTAACAAATAATAATGTGAATTTGTATGATTAATATGCGTGGACAAATAGATGAACGAACATACACTTACGCGTGATAAACACAAAGACACGCGTATAGAACCACAAAAGATAAGAAATTCGTACCAATACTAATACATACATACACGCACAAGGTAAAAAGAAATAACTGTAAAGGACGGAAATTTGAGTAATGATTTTATTTATTCATAAATAAAAAAAACTCGAGAATAAAAGAAACCGGAAGAGTAATAATAAAATTTTTATGACTCTCAAAAACGTCAAACGCACACTGTATTAATCAAGAAGGAGTATATTTCTAAAACTGGTTACAATCGAGAGTTATGTTAGACTTTATCTATACTACAACTTTAGTGAGTGAATGAAATGACTACTAACTTCATTAAAGTAATATCAAATTATATGATAAAGTTATCAGAGTGCAAGCGATACACAATACCACTTCATAGATTCTTTTTCTATAAATAACGATACTTAATTTTCACAATATCTATCAAACTAACAGCTGAGGAAAAATAATTATTTCAAAGGTCTACAATTATTTATTGCAACTAATTTAACAATCCAATTAACAACTATACGACTTGATGATTATGTGGTCACCGTAAAACATAAAAGTCATCTAGTTTAATTTAACTTTGATAGATAGATAATTTGTAACAAACTTACTTCAACGAAAGCCTGTCAATTATAACTTGAATCAGTAAGACATTAAATGATCGATTTATGAAATCAGTATATGTTATTGCGGTTTGAATTGATTAAAAAAACTTTTTAATCAAAATAATATAAATATAAAGCATGATAAACTTCAGCTGACTTTATTTAATATTTCAGTTTGGCGGAAAATTTAAACTTAACTTGATTGTGTACACTAAGAACTTACTAAAATGGTACTTATGATGATATCTTTTAGTGTTTGATATTGATCAAGGTGAATTAATTAATTATTGTATAATATGTTTACCATGTTCATTGACTTGATTAAACAAACATAATTCGAGAATTAGTTCATTTAATTCAATACAAATAAAACTTAAATACCTTTTTAACTGGTCCGCTGTAATCTTGCTGCATTGAATGATATGAGCTTGGATAATCTATGAAATACGGGCTCACCGAGGATTCAGATAGACTAGGTTGTTGAATATTAAAAAAGACTGAATATAAATTCAAGATATGCAGTTGACTTCCTTCAACTAGTCAATAGATTATGTACGTATTTATCGTTTGCTTTTCTTTGGTTTTTTGTAATTATATTTCTTCTGGTTCTTATTCTCTTTATTGTTTTTATTTATAGTTGATGATTTATTAAATATGGAAATCAGTACTGTTAGCCACCACTTTTTTTTAAAAAAAATAACTACTTTTAATACACTATGAAATAATCATACAATCATCATGCTAATTTTATAGTTATCGACTATGAAGAGCAGTAATGCTGAAACATTCCTAAATTGTATGTTACTGTACGTGTAGCACTGATTGTTTAGGTAAAAATTAATATTTATTCATTGTATACTAATATTATTGTAAGATAAATCATTTGATTTTCGATGATAAACTAATAAAGGTCAGACATAGACATTAAGCATAATCTGAAATCTTTAGTAAAGTTTCTGAGTGGTTTGTATCAATACATTACCGATGGGTTTAAAAGTTATATATATATATATATATATGTATATATCAAGTTCAAACAAATTAGTACATGAAATATGTGCTTTGTTGTAAAGATTTGAAAAATTAACATTTTAGTAGATGTTACAAAATCGATTCTATGTAACTGTACACTTGTAGTAGATAGTTAAGACAAATAACTTAACAAAAAATTTTCATGTAGGAAGTTAATGAAATGCTAACAATAGTCAGGTAGATAGAAACAACAACAGTGGATGTGCTCGATGATTAATATCATTACTTAAAACAACAGACTGTATTTTTGAAATAAATTTCATCGCCTTTTAGAATAGTTAAATATTAGCCTTTAAGGTAGTTGAGTATGGAAACATGCACTAAGTAAATTGAATAAACTAAAACCAACTTTTGGTTAAAGATAACATATCTAACGACAAGAATTATGAAATCCATATTAGTAAAGGTAATGTGCGAAGTTGATAAGGATTGTCTAATTTGTAGATTACACTGGGAACTTATTTCATCAAGAAAATCAAAGGACACTGGACAGCTGCATTGTGTTATAATACGGAGTGCATACTTACAACTCAACCGTTAACTAAGACAAGGGTCTCAGTTGGCGTTTATTAGTTCAAGTTTACAATATTGGACGACAAACAATGATTGTTATTGATTGATTTTGTTACGTTTGCATGAACAGCGCATCAATAAGCTTCTACACATTACTAGCATAAAAATTAAGGCATTTTTTAAGATTCAAATTAATAATTTGCACTTTTCATCATATAACTGAGTCTTTAGGCCTGCAAAAATTTCTAATTTACTAACTTGCCAAATTAATCCAATTAACAATAGAAAATTTTCTTCAGCTTGAAAGGATTTGACTAATTTACTCCTATTCTAATATTATTAGTAATGAAAATTCCGTAAATTAAATCGAATCAGTCAACTGGACTTATGTTACGCCGATTAATGCTTGTCAGCAAGAAATACTCATCTTCGTTAGGCAAGTGACGCTCCATGTAGAATTTGAACCAGTGTCATCATCCAGCTTTGTGGTCAGAGATGTTATCGCTGAGTTATTTTCAAGTTGTGATTGATCTACATTAGTACTTACATACTTGTAATTTGTTGATCATTAAGTAGTAGCCATAAATGTTGACACAGAACCCGATCAGAATTCAGGAGCTGCACAAACATGACAACAGTTACTATTTAGCGAGCGATCCAGTTGTAAATGGAGTTATGAAGTCTAAATAAAACTTATAAATTACTAAAGTATTGGAAAAATTTCATTTTAATAATTAAAATGTTTTTCTTCAAACAAACATGAAAAATATATTATAATCAAAATTCTTAAAGATGGATTCAGTAAAGTGTTATGTTAATCTTTTCAGTAGATCAATTATTTCATAAAGAATAAAACAAAGTAAATTTAATGTACATTTTCATCCAATCTGATCAATTTTCTTATAAAGAAGACTTTATCTTTCATTAAATTTCAGTTGCAAATGAAGTCGATTAGAATGTTGAAAAATAGTTAGAGAATGGATTGAAGTTTTACTTAACAATGATTCCATTCAGTAGTCAATATATATGTGCATAGTTTAACTTGGATCGGTAAGACGATCTACCAAGAGAATGGTACATAACTTAAATTTTTCCAAAGGACCTTAAAAAAGTCAGTCAGTCAGTCAGTTGCATCGTAGAACTTCGTACGTATGTACATAAGTTCAGGTTGCCATACCACATCAGCACAGAGATGTAATTGTCAATTCAAATCCCATAGTGATAGAGATAGTAGAGGTATTAATGGTAATGAAGAAGATTAGGGTTTGAAGATATTATTCAAGAAGTATAATTCAGTGAGATAAGGTTAGAAAGACAAAGGTAGAGGTGCTGACGAATCCAGAAGATTAGGATTTGAGAGAGCACAACGAATGGATGCACTTGTGCCATTGGAAACGATTTCGAGCCATGTCGTTCAAGGTCTCTAATCATTGGTGAATTTCGTCTCGCGGACCCCGACCAGGTAGCCCACATCTACCAATATGAATCAGTCCACTTGTCAGTGACTTCATGGATTTCTGCCATGTTTTGGTCTGGCCGCTCCCTTACAAAAATATCATCACAGATGTTTTATATGCGATAATGTGTTTCATTTCGTACTATATGTCATTTTAATGCAGTTTAAATAGTATTCCTGAAACAATGTGTATTGTTTTTTTGCTAAATATGCTTAAATAATAAATAAAATGAATCAACTTAAATGCTAACTAATTTCAAACAACAGAATGTCTATGTCATTCAACTATTCATGATTCTTATTTAAGAAACATACATTTCAGTAGACCTGAAACAAGTAGTATACAGAGTTGATGAGTAAACACTGAAAAGGTAATTGTACTATGGAAATCTGTTATCTTTAACAAAACTTTTTTGAAAATGAAAAAAATCTGATAATAAAATAGTTTTCATGAGAAATACTACAATCTCTCTCACCATGTCCAGCTTTTAATTGATAAACTAAATCCAGTAGACGATCATGACGTGCTTGGAAATTTTCATCCAAAGGTAAATATACCAATATTTGTGGTCGCCAATTTTTCGTATGAATTGGTTTATTGCCTAGTTTTAAAATAGCTTCTTTTGCAGTGGACATTTGTAAACCACGTGTAGCATCACCCCATTCTTTAGAAGCACTAAAATAATAATAATAATAATAATAATAATAATGGCGTCAAAGTTATGAATTTTTTCTCACTTACTGTTGCGAAAATGACAATAAAAATAAAACTGATGAAAATAATTATGGTGAAAATGGAACTCAATGAAAATACCTATTGTTATCACTTTTATGATTCATGATTAGAAATAAATGTAAATAAGTGTGATTTTGTTATTGTGCATGAGTAAAACAATAATAAATCCAGATAATACAAAGCATAGATTTGATATTTTTTCTATCTTATGAATAGAATCTCCTATTTTATTTTTTCAGTAATATTTATTCATAAGTAAACCATGATAATTTACTATACATTAGGATGAATAGAATAGAGTAAAAGTATAAATATGCGATGATTTTTTTAACGAGCTTTTACAGTAAATCCGTAGAGAGCTTCTATAAATGAATAGCTTTTGAAGAAGAGAACAATAATATTACAGAGTATTAAGGGATTTAATATAATTCACAAATTTGTTAACATATACAGGTTCTTCTGCTTGGATAACTAGTAAAAATAATAACACAAAGTTATCTTCATAGACATAGCCTACCTATAGTCTCAAACCCTTATGAGAATTCGTAAAAAAATTTTCAGAGTCCACACACTGTTTCGAGTTAGGGTTACGCATTTTACGGTTAAGTTGACAAGGGCTTAGAGTTAGGGTTTTCATTACAAACTGACATCAGTTACAATGTGAAAATGTTCTTATGACCATTTGAATGAATGAATTATAGTTGCGCTATGTAGATTGGTTCATTCATAAACTGAAATTCCTTCAGATTAAGGTTCATATCAAGATTCTAGAGTCTACTTCTTAAATAATGTCGTCGAACTCTAAAATTTCCGATTACTGCTAACACTTCTATTACCTCTACTACTATGGGATTGAAGTGACCATTACATCTCTGTACTAATGTGGCATGGCAACTTGAACTGATGTACGTACATACGAAGTTCTATGTTGTTGTTGACTGAGTGACATATTAAGATTAAGAGTTAAGCGTTAGGATTTTAGGATAGTGTCGACCTCCCAGTTATGTACAGTCTACAGACACAGAATTGAGCATTTGATAGATTTGACACTATTATTTCTATCCCTTTGTGGCGAAAAGTAACTTTTTGCTATCCTTTTTTTATGTTTCGAACAGTACACAAAGATACTTCTACTGCTTATTTTATGTGATATTTGAGGTCAGAGTAAACACCTGAAAGTCATGTTCTCGATTCTGATTGGTTGATATCTATGGATAAAGCTGTAAACCTTGATTAAAAAGTTTATTTATTCAATAAAATAAGTTGTTAGGTTAGCGTGAATTTTCTTATTATTAAATAATAAAGTTACAAGTTAGATTGGTTTTTCAATTTAAGGTAATATGATAAATCATGGCGTGTGTAAAATCGTAATTTGATCAGTTGGTGATCTAGTTAAAATCAATTCACGATTTGAACGATGAAAATATTGATCAAGTAAAATATGCAGTTAAAACTACTTATTTCGGTGTAAATAGTTATTAGAAATGAGTTAGAGCGCATTACATAAGCTTGTGTTAAGTTGACGAGAAGTATATAGATAATTTGACGAGATCATAGCCTAATGTTATTACTGTAGTGTAACTTAACTCATGTTTTCGAGAACTTATTGTTCTTATCTGCAAACAAATGCATCCTTTTTTTACATGGATTGATGTACAGATTATTCTTACATCAGGTGATACAAACTGAACATACGAATTGAAATGAGGCATCCTAATTTAATTAAAGAATATATAACATATATTCTCAGCGCAGGATGTCGTGACTGAAACACAAAAAGATTTCACCATGGAGTTACAAGTATGGAGCTGGAATAAAGATATTTTTCTAGATTTTAATAATTAATTACAATCGTAATGTACGGTTTTGGAAACTATAAAAGTAACAATTCTAGCAAGCAATAAAGACTTATGGTTAGTGATAATGATGATAACAAAGAACCGTTATAAACTGTGTAAGGAAAGTAGTAAACCAATTCTCCCCAGTTTTTCACTTTTGTGAAAGTCGGTGAACTGATAGAGCCGTATCATTGTAGAATCTGAAAAATTCGGTGAAAACTAGTCATAGTAGATCGTCTGAGGTTTAAGATTTTTGAGTTTTTCTTTCGTTCTTAAAAAAAAATTAAAAAACAGTGCTAAATTAGGATTTAGTGTACATTTGTTCCTCACTATTTATTAGGAAAGGGGAAAAGTAGTTGAGGTTTTTTAATGGAGACACTTTTTTCATCGTAAGCCTGCATTTTTACACCTTACATTCAAAGCAATTAGATTGAAAAACTAGCTTCCAAAAAATCATTATCAGTTTAACAATGTCTTAAAGAATAAAATTTCTAAACCAATATGTCTAAAACGGATAGTTTTATTTACGTTATCATTTCAAGCTAGAATTATGGGTTAGAAATAATAAAATTGTACCGACTACTGAAAAGAAATCCTAATAATTAAAAGTATGTTAGAACAGTGTAAAAAATTCATCAGAGTTCAAGTGCAATCCTTTTTTCTGATCTGACACCTCTCATGGTATCTATCAATTTAACTGCTCCTGTGAGGCAAGTTACATCGGAAGATGTTTTAGGAATTCGTACTTTCGTGCACACAAGCAACTCCTAGTTTGGTTAAGCAAAGGTGCAGTTGTTAACATTTCGATGCTTGTTCTCTTGTACACACGGCTATCGGTGAGCGATCACTTTCACTAATAGATTGTGTTAACCGCAATTTACCTAAATCCATCACACGACTGAAGCAATAGCTGTTCGGATCAACAAGTTTGATCTTTTGCATCTAGCAGAAATACGTTCAACAATTGCTTTTTTACCTTGGTAGACTTCCGGTTTCATTTGTGGACAATCATTTTGATAATAATCTGACTAGTGTTCATACAATCTCCCTCTTTGCATTCCCTTTTCTAGTCTCACCAAATTTATTCTGACCATCAGTCTCGAAATTTCATTTTATGTATAAACCTATTCAAGTAAACTCATCGGGTTATTCATCGCAACATTAGGGCAAGATTATAATTTCTGGACGAATCAATCATCCTAGAGATAGCAAGTTTTGGGTTTCGGCACGAAACTCATCCATCTATATAGTTTAATAACATTCTGACATTATGAGTGATTGAAGTTTGTGATCGAAACCCACTCCCCAAGTCTAATTCCTAAGGCTTACATCCAGCTCAAAATCCTATTATTAATGCCTCACACTAATTTATTATCCTCTTTTCATCTTAATAAGTTGGTGAATATTCTCAAGGTCACTTTGACATCGCTTAAATATCGCCCATAAATTATAGTCTCACCATAGTTTCTATTAAACTATCCTCAATTCACATGCTATAATTTGGAACAGTGGATTTTGTCTTAAACCTGGTCACGTATTTATTCACAAGAATATTCTTCGTTCCATATATCTGTGTTTTAATATGTTGATGAATTGTTCAGAAAGAAATTATCAATAGTATTAGCTTCTAAATAAACAATGTTGAATGGTTAGAAATTCAATAACGAAAAATTCAGAAACAAGAAAGGCAATTTCTTCATCTATGAACTAATCAAAAAAATTATTCTTCGATATAATCGTGAATTTTATGAAAGGTTTCCTAAAACATATATAGGTCAGCAGTTCAAGTATCATTTTGTTTTATATATAATTATAAGGAATGAAATGAACTATTGACAAAATCTGGCTAATTTCATTATCATTAAGCGGTTGAATTAATCCATATACATATCGACATTTATTTGATTGTTATATAGATCATTTTTAGATTAAAAATAACACATTATTATAGTTTTGTTTTGATCGGTGACACTAGCCGATAAAATATGATTCTCACAATTCCATAAGTCGGTCTGTAGAAATAGTTTTGTTTTCATACAACTTCGAGAAAATGAATAGAACTCTCTGATAAAAGATGAACCATAAGATAATTAATTACAGCAAGATCAATGAAATTCAAACAAATAACACAATATAAAATTAGACTTCATAGTTGAAGTATGAAGAGAATGAAAAGTTCTGAAAAACAATTTTCAAGACAAAAATTTAGAAAATACTGAAAAGTCCATAAATGATCTATTATAAATTAAATAGTTTTTCATACTTCTCATTTGTGCGAAAAAGACAAGAATTACACAAACTATAGTCAAATTCAAAGAATTTATCTCTAAAATTAGTAGATTAGCAAATGTGATAAAAGATGCAACTATCATCACCAACAATGTTCATGCATTTCATCAATGATAAGATTTTGTCTAAGCAATCTGTGGTGTGTTAATTTGTCCAGAACTCTCCTAAGGTACTACTTCAATATACACTAAATCGATAGATAGATTTCCCTTTCAAAGAAACGTATTTGCAAATTGTTTAATCTATTTTAACTATTAAGCATAAACAGGTTATTTGCTGAAAAAATTTACTGAAACGAAACCTTAAAGCGTGACTCGATCAAATTAAAACAAAAACTAATTATGCATTGTTTAACTGTTTACAGTTATTTACTTACGCCTGTTACCCCTAATGGAGCATAGGCCGCCAACAAGCATTCTCCAACTAACTCTGTCCTAGGCCTTCTTTTTCAGTTTTATACAATAACTATTTATTCTTTACATACCTGCTTCCGATTCTCGGAGAAGTTTGTTCCTTGGTTGACCGTTTGGCATTTGGCTTTAGGAAATTCAAGTTAGGGTTTGTCTCGTGATGCAGTTGGATGCTTTCCACAATGTGTCCTATACACTTCCAGGGCTTTCTACAAATTTCTTCCTCTTCTGGAATCTGTTTTGTTCTCTCCCATAGTAGATTGTTGTTGATACTATCTGGATTCGCAGATTCGCAGTATCTTGCGTAGAAAACTGCTGATGGTTCTCCTAATTTCAGCTCCGTGCAACAGAACGGTTATGGTGTTCAGATTGAGGATTTTGACTACGGTGTTGGTTGATAGTTATTCTTCAATTGTGGAAACATTGCCCATGCTTTGCTGATCCGTGTCTTTAACTCTTTATCAGACTCGCCTAGTTTATTCATGATGCTGACCAGGTATGTTAAGGTTTCAAAATCTTCTAAAGTCTATCCATAAAGTGTAATTTGGTTGGTGAATGTTGTGTTGTATCAGAGGATCTTGCTTTTTTCTTTGTGTAGGTTCAGACCTACTGCTGCAGCGGATGCAGCTACCCTGACCGTCTTCGACGTAAAGTGTTGTTGTGGATGGGGTAAAAGAGCTGGTCATATGTGAAGTAAAGATCGCTCAGCTGCATTCAAGCTGTCCATTGTATCTCATGCTTCCCCTGAGATGTTGAATTCTTTATAATCCACTCAACCAGCAGAATAAAAAGAAGTTATCAACCGGTCTCCGTTTAAAATGAGATAACTTTGGAGTTTAATTAAACGCAAGAAGTCCGTATGATGTTGAATATCTCAGGTACACTATAGTGTCGAAGATGATTCCATAATGCTCTTCCCTTCACGGTATGAAATCCTCTCTCATAGTCAAGGGAGTTGATGTATAGGAATCAGTTACAGTTAGTTGATCGCTCAACACTGATTCGTAGTATCACGATTTCGTCGGTACATGATCAGTCTTCAAGGAATCCAGCCGGCTGTTATCGAATTCGGGTATCTACGTAATCCTTCATTCTAATCAGCAGTAATTTGCTGAAGACTTTTTCTCGCAGTGATAACAAAGTGGTTCCTCTCACACTTGCTCAGATATCCTATATTTGTTATCACGATGAGGTGTTCTTCTTTACAGTCTGTTCGTACCTGTTCTTCCTCCCGAATCTTTCTAGGCAAAGCGTGGAACATCTTTAAAGTTATTGCTTTCCTTGCTTTCAATGCCTCAGCTGGTATTTTGTCACGTCCTACTGCTTTGCCACTCTTGGTTTGTCTAAAGTTCATGCGCATCTCGTCAGTTGCTGATGGGTCAACATTGATTGAGAGATCAGTGGATGCTGCTTCGATGCTAAGTAGATTTAGTGCGACTCGTCTACGTGACAGTTCTCAAAAATGCTCTGCTCACCTGTTCCGCTGTTCTTCAATGTCGGTGATAACTTTACCTCCTTTGCTTTTCACTGGTCGTTCCGGTTTACGATAGTTTCCAGAGAGCTTCTTCTTTGCATTGTACAGTTGTCTTATGTTTCTTTCTCTTGCAGCTTTTCTGCTTTCGTGGCTAGATCTTCCACATATTCACATTTGTCGGCTCTGATGCCCCACTTCAATTGCTTATTTGATTCTGTGTATATAGCTTGTGCATTGGCTTTCTCTGCTCTTGTTCGGTTGATGTTGATTGCTGCCTTCTTGTTATTCCTTTCTTCAATCTTATCCAGAGTATCGACAGAGATCCATCTGTTTTGATGGTGCTTCTTGTGGCACAGAACCTCTTAACATGCTGTAGTAAAGACATCCTTAATCCATTTCTAGTTTTTCTTTATGGTAGCTTCCTCTTCATTCAGTCGGTCACAAAAGACATGGAACTGATTGCTGCGAGCTAACTTGAATTCGTTGAGCTTTCCAGTATCCTGCAGAAAGGTCATAATTAACTTTTGTGATGTTATCCGCCCTGTTGTTCAGTGCTTCTTTAGTTCTAGTTTTGTCTTGGCCACTACTGAGTGATTATCTGAAGCTATGTCAGCTCCTCTTCTGCTGATCACGTCCTGTATCATCCTTCTGGAATTTTTACTGATGCACATGTGATCGATGTGGTTCTCTGTGATTTGGTCCAGTGAAACCCATTTAACTTCGTGTATGCGTTTGTGTGGAATGTGGTGTCGCCTTTGAGAAGTTGGTTAGACGCACAAAGGTTTGCAAATCTTATACTGTTTTCGTACCTTTCTTCCAGTCAATGCCATTCCCAACCTTGACATTTAGGTCTCCCATCAAAATGAATAAATCCTTTTATATGTCTTGAAAGATGCTTTGATGAATCTGAGTCCATAAGATTCTCATTCTATGCTTTCCACTTTAGAATTTATATGTTGCGAGAATATACTCACCGAATCATACTACTTCTACTAATAATAATATTGCAGTATTAATATTATTTATAAAATTAAACCATACTTGAAAAATAAACGTTAAAAACAAAGAAAAGAACAAAAGAATAGATTTGGAATGAAAAAGTTAGTAAGCAAGTAGATGTCAACAACAACAAATGATATAAAGACAGCAATACTAGTATTATTACTACTGTTATAATATTTCCAAAATCCATTTGTAAGCGTTGTTTGAATCTTTTCAACTGTGAATGAAATACTTGCAACCGAATAGCGACATTAAGGCATATTGATGATTCACATGTATTAAAAAAGACTAAAAAAGTGAAGTAATAGTAACAGGTGACTAGAGACCTTAAACGACATGGCTCAAAATCGTTTGGAATGGCGTAGGTGCATCCGCTCTTTGTGTTCGATGAAGTTCTAATCTTCTGAATTACTCATTACCTCATATTTCTCCTTTTTAAATTTATTTCTCTAGAATATACTTCTTGAATAATTTATTTGAACCATAATCTTCTCGATTAGCGCACGTACGAAGTTGTACAATGTAGCTGACTGAAAGATTAATTGAAATCTGTGACATCAGCAAAAGAGTAGATTCAAACAATCCTCATAAATTAATTACCATTCATGTTGTTGCACAAGCCAGTGCTCTTCTGAGCTCAGCATTAAAACAAATAACGCATTTAGCATGTGAAATGAAAAGACCTGGGTTCAGGTCTTGATGTAAACATCAGCATGGGTTCGAGTAAAAAACAGTAATGATGCTGACTGGTTCAAAAACATATACAGCATTCTTAGTCAGTTCTAGAAAGCAGTTGTGCAACGTATATACCTTCAGTATCTTGACTGAGGGATACTTGTTACCTATAAGCTAAGTGTGCCTAAAAAACACACGATCATTATATATTATCAGTCAATGAACGTGAAAGCATGAACACTAAAGGTAACTGAAATAATATTGAACTTCTATGTATATTAGGAAAATGACTAAAAATATTCGATCGATTTTATTAACTGAATATAATATAATCCATAGAATGAATATTTTTGAAAGTATTTACGTGTACAGAAATAAATGTTAAATTTTTTAACATTGAATACACCAAATAACTTTGAAGATAGTAATCAGAAACATGTTAAATATAAGACGCGTTTAAACTTGCTATGATTTTCAATATTATAACATTGTAAAGAAATTAAATGAATTAAGTTTATGGAATCCAACTCTTTCCTGTTATCCATGTCGAAAATTAATTGAGATCGGTATCTCGGAGAAGGAAATCAATTTCAAATTGGTGACAAAAAATTTATGTGGAATAAAGATAACTTATCAAGGTTTATTCAAACATAGAAATCAGTACAGAAAGCAACAAACACACAAATACGCAAGAGTACCGATCTCATAAGCAGAAATTTACAAAAACAGAGAATAACGAAGAAATCAAAGCATCTGATAGGAAAAACAAGTTTCTTTCTTAAAAATAGAAAAATTGGTCGATAGATAAATGAAATACAACTTACAATAATGAATTCATGCATGTACGTATGTTGACATGATAAGAGAGAAAGTTAATATCAGAGAAGTAAGAGAAAAGGAAACCTAATTCATTATGATAATCAATCAAGTGATGATGAGATATATAAAATAAAATATCCTTGTGGATAAACTATATATTTGAGATATAGGTAAGATATTAAATGAAATGAAAAAAACAAACACAGATATTAAATGAAATGACAATAACAAACACAATCTTTCCATATTTGTGAAATGTAACATCCTACAGGCAGGCAGTGGTCATTGTGATATTCACAGATACTTAAATGATACCATAACAAAGAAAGGCAATTTAAGGATAGTAATCAATAGATCAAAACAAAAGACAATCTAAATTTTATCGTAAGACAGATTGTGAATTTCTTGAGTTAAAATTAAGCAACAACCAATTTATCAGGTATGTACTTGACTTTAAACCATAGAAATAAGGTTCCATAACTAACAGCGATGAAACTGAAATAACCGGTAGAATTGTACAGATCGATGGTTCACAGTCTGTTTTTTTCGTCTACCAAGTGGTGTACACATAAATATACTAGTGTAAACAAGACCAATCATTTTATTAATTTACAATGCATTTAAATGTATTTTTTTACCTGTAGATACAAGTATCTGAACATACAAAAGATGCAGAGACTCATAGTAGTTTCAATTCACCGCCACTGAATGATAATTAAATGTTCACAGTTTGTAAGAAAAATTTCTAATTGTTAAAAACTAAATTTAACTAAAAGTTATTGTGAAGCAAATCTATTGGAAATAATTTAATCAATGATTCACAGTGGACATAAATTAAAATACTGCCACATGATTAGAGTGTATTGAAAATAAATAAAATACATTTATTATTGAAAATAAACGATAATTAAACTTACCCTCTATATTCAATATATTTGTAGATGGCAAAAGCTAACGCCCAAGCGACGATAGTATAATACCAACTAGATATAAACATTAACGCAATACATAGACATAATCCGATAAATGAGAGGAACCTTGAAAGGAAATTAGAAATAATGGGAGAATATAAATGAAAAAATCCGTAATACAGTAAGTAGGTTGCTTAAATAAGGAATTATATCAGGAGGATACAGTAAAATAAAAGTTCTAATACGAATAAATAACTTGAAATGAGTGAACTGAAGTAGTTTAGTGAAAATTCAATGGGTTCTCAATTTGAACAAATTGAGAGACTTCTTTCTAAGGATCTCCCTGCATTTCGATAATATAGATCAAATATCCAGTTCAGAGAAAAACTAGGAAATTTCACTTTCAAAGTCAATTTATTAGTATTTGATTAACTAGCTACAACCCACACTTTCCATCGCAAAAATCTTGTAGGCGTATGATGGTCAAGAAGTGAACATGACGTTAAAACTGCTTTAGTATAGTGTAATGCTACATTCTTTATCCAATACAATTGGTAAGTTACTAACTAACTAACACCTGAAATGAGTTTTCCACGCAATAATTGAATGTATTCCAAACCTGGAAAAATTAACTGTTCAGCAATTCCTAGTTTTCAATAAAATAGGGCCAACATCACATGGATGAAACAAGTTATTCATAATATTAGAAGATTCTAGTTAATCAAGGAGTTCAGTACATGAAATCTTACCGATGTCATTGTTTTTGTAACAAGTCGTACCTAGTGCACAATGATGTCTGTTATTAGAAGAAACCAATCTAGACTGTCATTCTAAACTTCATTCACATGTACACACACGTACGAAACAACCATTTTTGTAGTGCAGCCGTAAAATATGTTAAATATTATTGATTAAATTATTTAATATTTTTTAAATATGACGGAGTTTATATTCCTATGGAGAGTATTTCGACGAATGTGAAAATGTAATGAGCAAAAAAAATGTAAACCAGAAAGGCAATCAAACAATGTGAAAATCAACCAATAGAGAGTAGTATTTAGAAAAAAGGTTGAATGATTTATTTTGACTAATGCATTCATCTATGTACATATCATAAATGATAGATTTTAAATCATGAAACCCAGTGACCGCAACTATTAAATTTCCGTTATCTTCATAACTCGTCTACCCAACAAAAATTAGGTTAAAGTGACAAACAGTAACCACTGTTGATTAGCATTTTGTCTTTGAAAAACTACCCTACTCGTTTCCTGAATCCTAATGATTTTTACACATATAGATATATTTCCTGTTTCATTTCATTTTTGTAAAAAAATAAAAATGAACATGATTTGTATTAATGAACGTAAAAGATCTGCATAACCCATCATGACACTGTGTATACATACATACAGTCGGAGTAAATTTTTCGATTAACACTTCTAACCTAAATATAGTAACAAGAAATCAACATACCATGGATATAAAAATAGGCTGACATTTATAAAACCATTCACATACATAAACATATTACTTATATACAGTTGATAATAACTTGACAAGAAGTTTGCGAAAATACTAAAATTATTGGTAGTAATTCAGGCCAATGCTTGAACAAGCTTATTTCATACATGGAAATATGACAGGTCGAAAAGTACTGTAAGGCATTATAAACACAAATCCGATTTTAATCCTTAAACATGATATATAACGCGTTATTTGTCTAGCTATTAGGTTTATGTTCAAGAGTGAATATCAACTCTAGCATGCAATTAGATCCAATGGACGAGTCCTAAATAAGAATAAATGAGAGTCCTGGATCCCATATGCCAAAAATCATCCGATTACGGCTACAATATAACCTGATTCAAAGAACCTCATTTTAGTAATGACAAATGAGGATTGGCACATTGGCTACGGAATGATTATAACGACAGACATAGCTGGTAACACTTAAAAAGAAATCAAAATATGATTTTTAGCTATGGAATATTTCAATTTTTTTATAGTAAGATGTTTGTATTACATCATAAAAGTTTTTAACACTGCAAATATGATTCTTAATCCCACATGGAGGGAGGCCGGAAGACCATTCCAAATTGCTGCAGAAATGAAAAGATACAACCTAGAGGTGCTTGGAATCAGCGAAACGAACTGGACGCAAGTTGGAAAACCAAGACTAGCTTCACAAGAGATTCTGTTTGTTGGGGATGTTAGATCCCATGAACTCACTTGAAAAAGATCCTAATTTCGGATTGTTTACGCTTTCGCGCTTAAGTTGCTTATTTGACCTTCAGCTTATATTCCCCATTCAGAAAATCCTTGGCTGTTATTGCTTGATGCATTATTTTGGTACGCTGTTTCTGTGGCTCTCCCAAGGACATTCTATCATGTATAAATAAGCTCGATTTGTGTGACTGTCGACCTCGTACTTTCTGCGTGTTTGTAGAATACACTTTGTACGCCTTATCAATACTTCTTGATATAGTTAGCCGGGCGGAGGACAAACGGATTAAAATAGCCTATCGTATCACTGCATCATTTGTCTTCGCTCCATTTACCGAGTAAGGTGAACTCGTAATAGTTCAAGCATATCAATTGACGTGCATATCACTGTTATACTCCCATCATGAAGAAGTTGCGTCACTGATGCACTGATGCTGTCCAAACAATCAGAAAGAGCACTCATAGGATGGGAATCTCATGGACTCAGGATCATCAGAGCATCCTTCAAAACAAAGTAAGAAGTCATTACAATGAACGTCACCCAATGCTATGCACCTGCCAACGACTACAATGACGATGTTAATGATCAATTCTATGATAGGCTGCAGTCAATCATCGACAGGTGATCATCAAAAGGTTTGACAATTCTGATAGAAGACCTGAATGCCAAGGTTGGAATGGACAACACTGGATATGAAAACATCATGGGACGACATGAACTAGGAGAAAGGAACGAAAACAGTGAGAGATTTGTAAACCTATGTACCTTCAACAAACAGTTCATCGGCGGCACAATATTTCCCCATAAACACATACACAAAGCTACATAGATTTCGACGGATCACACTACTCAGAACCAAATCGACCATATCTGTATCAATAAAAAGTTCAGAAACACTATGAAAGACGTGAGAAACAAGAGAGGAGCTGATATGGCCTCAGATCACCACTTGTTGGTTGCAAAAATGAAAGTGAAACTCAAGAGTCACTGGAAAACGGAACAGACATCACAAAAGTGTAATACGGCCTTTCTTCGGGATACTGATAAACTCAACGAAATCAAAATAGCCCTCAGCAATAGTTTCCAGTCTTTGTACCATCTACTCAATGTAAAGGAAACTACCATGGGGAACAATTGGAAAGGGATCAAGGTGGCAATCACTTCAACATGTCACGAGGTTCTGGGCCACAAAAAACACCATCACAAGGAATGGATTTTTGTTCGTACTCTTGAAAATAATCAAGAAAAAAGGGACAGGAAGGCAGCAATCAATGTCAGCTGAACAAGAGCAGAGAAGTCCAAGGCACAAGTTGAATACAAAGAAGCAAACAAGCAAGTGTAAAAGAGCATCAGAACCGACAAACGGAAATATGTGGAAGATCTAGCCACGACAGCAGAAAGAGCTTTAGGAGAAGGAAACATGAGACAACTGTACGATGAAAAGAAGAAGCTCTCTGGAAACTATCGTAAACCGGAAAGACCAGTTAAAAGCAAGGAAGGTAAAGTGGACATTACACATATTTTGGAAATCAACTATTTCCATTACAAGCCTACACTTGGAAACCTCAAGGACAATGGAAAAGAGGAAGGCCAAGGAACACATTATGCCGAGAAATGGAGTAAGATATTAGATGAATGCACAAAAATTTGCCAGAACTGGTCAGAGAAGCCCAGGACAGAGTAGGTTGGAGGATGCTGGTCGGCAGCCTATTCTCCATTGGGAGTAAGTACATTAAATAAGTAAATTTAATTCGTCAGTTTAATATATCACTTACCAATGAGTCATTGGAGACAATTAACAAAATAGAGTTATGATGGATGTCGTCATATCATTGTAGATTAAATGATTCGACAGAGAAGCCAGCTACACATACTGATAATATTTTGAATCAAGTGGTCCTATAACGCGAAACATCAAACTACAGCAAATATGCGTTACGTTTATGTTTGATTTTTTCAAAGCTTTTTAACCGATAACATCATAGGATTATCAGTTTTTATCGAATCACACTACTCAAATTTCAGTTATAGGGTTTTGATGTATCTAGCTTCTTAACAGAATATTTATCCGAAGACAGAAGCATTATGCTATAAAATATGGTTAGAAGTCAGATGTATAAAGAGTTACTGGTTACTAATTAATATTGAATGTAATGAAAAACAATAAATGTGAATAGTATTCAGTTATGCTTTAAACATGGTTATGATCTGGTATTCACATAGACTATTAAGTAATATGATCACTTGAACTTCTGATGCAACCAAAGTCTATCAAATGTGACTCTGGCAACAAGTGAGTACTTCACAAAAGAATTTAACTTTTGTAGCTCATTACATAAATATACATAAACTAGGATTGTTCAAGTTTTTTTTTACGTTTCAACAACATATATTCTGAATTAAGTTTTATAATTTACATGTTCATCTAATAGTTTACGAATTTGAATATGATTTCGAATTAAGTCATTAAGGCATAAAAGTTGAGCGGTAAAATTTTTAATGATGTCTTTCGATGATAAACACTTTGTGCACAAAGAAAAAACACTGCTTACGTCTTACAAAAAAACCACATCATGTATACATTATAAAAAACATAACACAATATTATCATCGAGATGCAGTACACATTACATCAATGTTACACCCTTGAATTCCTAGATTCAAGCTCGATAATTTGTGATTCAGTGTCACATAAAGAATAATGCTCGTTAGTTGACTTTTTTTTTCATACATTTTCTATACTTATTTTTGCATATATGTAACAAAAGTATATCAAAATAAAAAAAGTAACAACAACTGATAATTGAATAATTATATATACACTTATAAAAAACTCAATGAATAATGATTAGAATTTGTTTTACGCACATTTATATTTGCATGTAGATGTAAACAAACCTAATTAAAACAAACGAATAAAAAAAAACACGGACATATTCTTTGTAAAAAAAAGTATGAATAATAAACAGACCAAGGTCAAAAAAATGTCATGGCGTAAAATACTATGGGTATCCTTAGTATAATGTTTTTAATAGTAAGATAAACATTGTAAGTGGAATAATTGGAGAAATTTCCAAGTGGAACACATATGTAATGGTTAAAGTGTGCGCATAAGGAATGGGTGATACAGAGTTATATTACATAGAATAGAAATATTAAATCTTATTTGAAACTTGTAGCTGTAAATCAGGATTATTATCATTTCAAATTTCGATAAATTTAAGACATATTCAACTTTTGTTTAGTATACCCTATACTGAATATAATATACGAGCTATAATTAATAGTTTTGTTTTCGCTAGAATGTAAATACGGATCAAAACATAAAAGTTTATCACAGTATTAATGAGCAGGGAAAAAAAGATGAGATATTTGTTTTGGAGTAAGCACTGACTATCTCTACTGCATCAGAGCTACTAGGTAATTTTTAATGAACAAAAATTTCAAACTATCAAATACTTTCTCAGTGGTATTCAATAAAAGTAACATACATATTATGTAGCAAAGACAAGTTATTCATTGTATGAAGTATATGTTTCTACTTAAGAATTTCTTTCCATCTCATAGTAGTAGAGGTAGTAGAAGTATTAGCAATAATCGGAAAGACCACGGACCACCATCCTTAAAAATCCCAGGAGTTTGCCTATCAAGACTCGCTTCGCCCCCTCGCTTCATATTTCCTACAGCTTTCTCAATTTCATAAACAGTAGGAGGACTTACGTCGATTTGCCATTCAGGATGACTGGGGATCGTATGCAACCAAAGTGTGGCTGAAGACCAGTTGAACTTATTACTAAGGTGTCCTGCTCATCGATCCAATCTCCTGGATTGAGACTGAATAATAAGCCCACCTTTTTCCGGGATAGTCTCATTTACAGTCGGATTCATAATACCGTTTTCCGCTAACATTTCATGTGAGATTGAAATTCATATCACTCAGCCATAGACATAAATTGACCATATTTGGTTAAAAATTAATATTGCTCAGTAAATTGCGTGACACAGCATTCTGCGTATGCTTAAACAATGTATAGAGAAGACCACGTTCCACTACTTAAAATTAAACAGATCATTGATCAATGTATTCATCCTTTTTAAATACAGATAATGCTTATGTATTCTATCGTCTATTACATGTAACGTTTAGGCTTGGGTACTGAGCAATAAAAGAAAATTCATAACACAGATTAAGAGATTGGACAATATTTTTTTCACAAAAGTTACAGAGAAAGAAATCTAAACAATTTGAATACGTAATATCTGGACTGATGCATGATTTATCATTTTCGAAGCATGGAAAACAGAAATGAAACAATGAATTATGATGTGAATCTATCAGTAAATTAAAGTGTCAAAAAGAAAACTATCGAAGATTGTTTAAAACTAGGCAAAGCGATAAACTTGTTGAAATTGAACGATTGCAACATTTTCAGAATGCTAAAACCTGATTAGCGTTTTAAATAATTACTAAGGCACCTTGTTATTTTGTTAGCTTCTAGTTACTCATGCAAGCTAAGCTAATTAATTAGAGTTACATTAAAGATATTTCACAGAGATAAGCTGAAAATGAGAATCGGACAATCAATCGACCGGGCGATCTTTAATAGCGGTCGATTTTAATTCACGGCTAGATATTATTTCTAGACTTGTTATCTTGGAAAGGAGACATCTTCTATGAAGAAACAAACAAACGATTAGTCGAGCGAAGAAATATATGTATATATAGTGTCAGTACAGTTACCAATGAAGCAGGAGTATGTAGGATAACTATAATACAGGTTGAAAAGTATTAATGAAAATGATGATAAACAATTAACATTGTAACTTCAAACATGAAGGTGGATGGTGTAAATCTAATTATCAAGGATATAACTAAACGAATGGATCAGGATATTTTAGTTGTATAATATGCAGTAGAAAAATTGATTAAAGTTTATTGAGATGGGATGATAGTACATCCAGCTATCCAATCCCAGAAAACGACTAGATACACCTTCTGAATCCTACCGCCAACCATATCTCATCTACTTGATATTAGCTTGAAAATTTGTTTGTCTTTTTCATCTTTTTTTTTTACTGTCCTGTGTACTTTCGTTTTATGAAAATCATTCAACTCTTGGAATTTTCCATAATAAACTTAAATTTATTCCCGCTAGAATAAGATTGTTTATATTTTAGAAGTCTGATAAAAATTACTCAAATTTAATAAGTAAATAGACGTAGAAATGTAATTACAATTGACATATAGTGTGTCAGTCAATCAGATTAGAAAGCAAATGAATCATGCAGAATTTTCATACTATATATGTGTGTGTATATATTCTTTTGTTTTGACGCAATATCTTGTCTGCTTGTGTATTTGCTCTTTCTTTCTTTTTAAGTCAACAAAATCAGGATATTGGGTAGGTTATAGAAAAAGATTAAAACTGATTTGTAAGCTTAATCCTAAGATGTTTTCTAGGCGAACACAAAGACTCCAAATGAAAACAATTTCAGAAATCATAATATTGTGGACATATAGACCGGAAGATGTCAACAGAAGACGTGACAACGAACAGGAAGAAGATCTCAGCATAGAACACTTGTTAGAACTAGATTGTACACTTTGCTCTATCATTATCTAATTCTACCTGATAGAAATGACAACAAATCATCACTATGTGAGTTTATCAGCTCAAAAGTTTTGGTAAATCTGGTTTCGATAAGTGTGAAATTTCCGAGCATCATCCTCTATAGGTGGTTAGGTAAAACCTAAAGGATAATGAAGGAGCCTTTAACAGACAATCGAGATTAGGTGATTTATGTGTACGATTACTGTACACAATGAACGTCATATAAAGCCATCTTATTGCACTGAATTGTTTCATTCCGAGAACATTACAACTATTCCATTCATTTTCGTCGCCACTAATGTTACTTAACCTATCATTTAACATTTTATCTGAAAGGTGATTGTGATTTGTGAATGATTTATCTTACCAATATACATTTTTTTATGTGCTTTTTTTATTTGTACAGTTCATATTCTATTTATTGTAAGGGAATGGTTACGAAAAGAGAGAGAGGTAAATATAACTCATACATACCAATGATAAAATCGAAATCGTGGACGCCAGTTTGGTTCTTTCAGGAATCCATTCAACATTGTAGCCAAATTTACGAAACCGTAACACATCAAGAAGAACCTGAAGAAGAGGAAGAAGAAGAGAAAATTCAGATTAAAACTATGAATTATGAAAGATTATTATACGGACAATTTTTCTTGTTGATAATTCAGTTGTTTATGAAAATATTTATGTTAGATAACTAAAAAATGACATTATAAAAAATTCAGTTCATTAATTTGAAAGTATGGACTTTATGTATAATGTTGAATGACTGTTCACTATTGATAATATCAAAACAAGCTGTAAGATATAGAATAACCAGTGGTAGAGAGAAAATAGAAAAACAAATCTATTCAAATCAGTTCGTCAGTTTGATACATATAGACAATACAACGAGAGAAGAAAGTTTATCAGACCTGGATAATATAATGGTGCAGTACACTTCGAATGAATAAATAGATCACATATTTACTTAATACAGCATTTATATATGAAAAATGATAACGGTCAACTAGGAAAATTTGAACTTATAGAAAGCACACTTACAAAGGAATAAAAATAATATAAACCATACCATTTCAAATTTCGGTTAAGGTTTTAACAAATAGAAATATTTGCCCTAGACAGCTAAACCCTAAAAGCTCAGTTACAGTCATCGTATAGCCTATATTCACATTAAAGTTCAGATTCCTGCTCTCTGTCTGTGTACTTAAAAACAATCTGTACTTACAATAAGCCTACCTTGGTATTATTGATTTATTGTTTAGCGAGATGTGATTCAAAATACTTGTGCCCTGTCACTTTTTTACTTCAGTTTGTCTAGGTTAATATTTATTTTTTATAACTGTTTAAAACATTGAACTAAGCTATCACATGATACTGAAAAATTTTGAGTTCTGATTGCATTAAATAGAATGAAAATCGGTACTCGAAAAACTGAAGATTATTACCATAGTAAATAGAATACAATTTTTCATGAATACAGTTTGAAACTCTATACAACCATAGTCTACGAGTTCACAATGCTGAGAATACAAGATGTACGACTTATACGAGAATTTTGTTCAATTCTAAGTTTACTGTCCGTAGTGAGTTATTTGAACGTAAACAATACTGGTATGTGTATTTGAATAAACCAATAATTTTTGATAATGTTATCGAATAGTGCTTCAGAACTCTCTTGAATGTCAGACAAATCGAATATAACGAATTTAGCAAGGAAAAACTGAGGATTATATCAAGAATAAAGTTTACTTTGGAAGCAATCAGGCTAATTAGGACTAAACCGATTGGATATTTCAGCAGGACATCAGTCTTATCAGTCCACTGTAACCATCTAACATAAATAGTAGAATGCTATAAATCACTTACAGCTCATACCCTGAATATTTGATTGTTTTTATTCTAAGCTCATTGTTATAACCAAATTATTTTTGAATGATATTACATTATTTCTCAGTCTAATTTAGACGTAGGCACTTAGAAAGAGATATCAGCACTTGTACGATTTTCCTACATAATGAAGCATCATATTACAACATGATAGTATTTAACTGACGTACATGAACTCAGTAAGGAGTATAATAATCCTATAACTGTATGTCATCAAATTGACGAGCATTCAATATTTTAAAGCAGACAACTAACCAAGAGAGTGACAGTCGGATACTACAAGATTATCCAGTGATAATAACATAAAAAGAGTTAACTTGTACATTGTATTTTGTTGAATCTTTCAGTGTAAAAATGACCTTTCTCAATTAATTTTAAATTAAGTTCACATTCAAAGTAAAATTATTCGGTAATGTATAAATGTCTGATAGTAATCATACCTAGAAACTTGCAAAGAAAAAGTACATTTAAAAGGAGCTGAGAGAAATATTGAAATTACAAAGTAATATAATAGACTTAATAAGTGATATGGGTTTTGATCATTATTAAATCTAACTGCATATAAAATAAGCATGAAACCAAGCACTCAAAAACTGCGAAATCAACAAAACCGCATAAAACACCGAATCTTATTTATTACATGAAGCCATTTTGTATGAAGATTTGAATTAATTTGGAATTTAATATAAGCTTGGGAATTGTTAAAAATCACATAAAAATGAACATTTATTTTATTCTAAGACGAGAAGTTTTGACACTGTACAACTTTGTCTCCTAAAAAGAAGTTAAGGACAGGGAAAATTTTTAACAATTTTTAAAAAATGGTTTACAAGGATCAAATGCAGAAATTCTCCTTAACATTGTCATAGCAATAGGAAATCAAGTCATTATTTATGAATAAGATGATACAAACATCAAAAAAGACTGAATAAAAATAATATATTTTGTAATATACCAACAAATTAAGAAAAAATTAAAATATCCTATTCATTGAGATATTAACAATAACATTTTGGTTAGCAATCTACCCAGAGCAAAATTATTTTTAAATGTCCAAGTCAAACTTTCGTAAGGCTACCATCATCTACAAGTTCCCTACAAGTCTTAACCGAATGAAAAGAAAACAGGTGAGGATGCTTTACAAACGCACTATTTATACAAACTTTATCAATAAATAATTGACTATATTAACAACACTCAAGTGTGATTCATCCTTCTCAGTGAATTATACTGTTAAATAAAAAGAAAAAAGAAACAAAATCTAATTTAATTTGACAGAATTGTTTAAATTACCAATCAAAACACAATGAACGCATATGATCAATCTTATGTTAACAAGTTAATTAATTAACTGATAATTTCTTTTTGCTTTTTGTTTAGCAAACATAAAGAAGTAAACAAGAAGAATTCATCAGAACCGATTAGAGATCTAGCGCAAACAGTAAATATAAAAGTGTATGAAACCAGTGTAGATAAAATTAAAAATATCCAATATTATTAATTTTTTTTTAAAGGAAATGACAAATTGAATCATTGAAGTAATTAATCATAAGTTATGAAAGGAAAAAAAAAGATAACAATAACAAGATAAATATCGGTGAAATAAAAAAAAGAACTTCTACTGATTGCTTTTTCAAACTTTATTTTATCAGTACAGAGGTTTGACGAGATTGCTGAATGTTACACTGATAATACAAGCTAATTGCACATTATCCACCTCTGAGGAATCTCCTATAAATGTAGATGTACTTTTAGGAAACAGTTTTAAGTAATAATTTATTCTATAATATGGGGACTAAGTAAGTAAACTAAGCATCAAGATAAGAATATAAGAAGTAAAAAAGAAATGGTTTGAAATTTTTGTTAACAAACAATCTTTTTTGATGTAAATGAATCGTAATCGAGATGGTGATCTAGCTGAGAAACTGTAAGTTTATAGATTGGCATAGTAGTTTCATAGGAACTTGATTTGGTCGACAAAAGATAAGTTTAAACGAATAGTCTTACGACAAACATAAACTACCCAATGATATCAACAACTGGCAACTTTTGTAATCGAACAACATATAATTATCAAGTCAATATAGCTTATGAGATCGGTTAGTATTTAATTTTCTCAAAACATTGTTATAATTACAAGGCATAGTATTAATTGTTTATCAAAAACTGTATTATTTAAAGGTGTTAAACAATAAGGTCACTAATTAATTCAATACTCTTATAATTTCAGTATCTATATGCAAATAAGCTTATTTGTTTTTGTCTGATAGAGCCTCTGTCTCCATATCCATTCTCTTTTTTTATTGTTGTTCTTGTTTATTTCTACACATGTATGGTGTATACAATCCGATATGATGTCAATGTTAACAAAGCAATCAGTGAAAACTAGTGACATAAAGAAATGAACGTCAGTCAGTCATTTACGTACATACAACTTGGTACGAACATGCATCAGTTCAAGTTACTGTACCCCATTAGTGTACGGTGAGCTGAAATTGTCAGGTAAAATCCCACAGCAGCAGAGGTAGTAACAGTAATAAGGGTGATGGAAAGGATTAGGGATCGAAGATACGATTCAACAAAATATAAATCAGTGCAATAGATGAATAGAAAGTTCTACGGAATTCCGAAACTTATGACTTTGGAGAACACAACGAGTGGATGCATCTGCACCATCGCTAGAAATTTTGAGCAGTCATTCAAAACCCCTAATAACTAGGTACGACTATCACGCATGGTACAGTCCAATTGTTAATGGTTTCATAGACTGGTGTCATGTTTTGTTTTGCTACCCTTAGTCGTATTCCAGCCTACTACAACAAGCAACATAGCTCGTCGAGGTAGGTGGTGGTTGGGCACAAGTTACCTAAGTCGAATCCACCTCAGATAGAGATTCACTACTTCGTTGTTGTCCTTCTTTATTTCGACACATATATGACGAAAACAAATAAACGGTATGTAAATTTTAAAAAATAACCAGTGAAAACTATTTATTTGAAGAAACGAATATATAAAATTGTAGTTTTTAGATACTAGAAAAATATTCATTTTACTGAATGGCGATCTATTGAACTATTAGAAGTTATCCATGAGTGGAACGATGCTTCAGTTTTTCTAATGTCGTTTTAACATTTCATTATGGTCTCTTTGTGAAAACCACAACATATTCAGAATTCGAATGGCAGCAAAGCAGTTTTTTATCGCATTTATTCTGATAGAAAACTAAGTGTTTTCACCAAATTTTGTGACGTTAACAATATTATATATCTTATGCGATAGAAACTATTTTGCGAGGACAGAATTGCGTGTTAAAAAAAGTTATCATTATTTCCAGTCAGACTAAAATATTCTGAAAAATACTTATTTTTGCAATATGCTTGCAACATTTCGCATTTGACATTTAGAAAGAGATGAGTTAAATGAAGAAACACATTTTACCAATGTTTTCTCTCATTCTACTTCATTACTTGATAAACAGTAATAAGAAGATTAATAGTAGTCAAGTGGTAGAGTTATATTTTAGGGTGTCCGTTTTCTTTCATAGTGAGACAGACACTTGTATTTATAAAAACGACTAAGATCGATGTATTTATGAGACATATATAGAACAGACAACGCTGTATAAGGAATCAATAAAATTGGTGCTGGAGTGAGCTAAAAGTGACTCATTTCTCCCAATTTTCTCT